CGATCCCGCGCGTCGGAGTCGGTTCCCGGGACAGGACCACTTTTTTTGATGGAGTAAACTCTGCTTCATTTGGCATGGTGGTACTGTGGTTGATGATACAAGATCGAGGGGGAGAAGCGGACATTATTTCTTGTGAAATATTGTTGTCCTTCTTCGCGAAGGCGTGATTTATGTGGGGCTCACATTTCTCCTGTCACTAGAAGGAATTCAGTCCCTAATTTTCGATCTCTACGAGGAGTTTCTTCAGCCGTTTTTTGAACAGGCTTCTCGAGCAGGAGCGTAGTAAGGTGGGGGCGGGGGGGGGGGGCGGACCGCCCCGGGCGGCACTTCCTACTGAGCTTTTAGGGGCGGCATTTCGGGGGTTTTGCATCCAAAAAAAAATGAGTGTTTTCGAGGAAAAAATATCTGGCGGGGGGCGGCATTTTCGTCGAGCACGGTGAAGAAACGGAAAATTTCGAATCACCGCCCCGGGCGGCACTCCGGCTCGCTACGCCACTGGTAGAAGGACTTATCGCATCGGAGAACTGACCCCCCTATAATTACCGGTGGATCCCCCAGAACACGCTCCACCGGACAAGAGCCTCCTCAATGTCATGATGTATCCGTCTACATATTTTGGCGCTGACTCGCACCGCGAGAGGGATATACTTACCTACAGCTGCTAGTGCAGTACTCTGGTTCGAGGCTGAACTGAAAGGGCCATAAGGGGCGTGAAGTACTCCGGTAGACAAAGTCATGTCACAGAGACTCACCGCTCTCTCCTCCGGAGTCGATTAACTTCGTCTGTGATGGCGAGTCATGTCGCAGGGCCCAACGATAGGCAATACGTTCGGATGGATGATATAATCCCAGTCGAATTAATTTTGCAGTCTGTCAACTTTCGGAAGACGAAGTGCATTGTGTCATCGTGCTCGCGATCAACGGACGACGGTGTGAAACTCCATCGCTGTAGGGAAAATCATCAAGTAATCGGGAAAGCTCTCGGTAAATTCAACATCACGAAGAACACCTACGTCTGCTCGGTACGTGTAAGATAAGAGCGATTTCCTTAATTTCTCGAGGCATCTGGCTGCCGGGCAGAGAAGAGCGACGGAACGAGCCTCGAGCTTCCTCTCTTTTCACAGCTACATTTCGAGCCGTCATGTTTTTCTCGCAAAGGAGGGCTAAACCCCGATGCTTTGCCGACTTACAGGGAATCAATGAATTCGATTGGCGCGAGGAACGGGAGATGCGAGATGTTTGTCTCCGCATGCCGGTATCATTTGTATCTGTTGATAAAGAGCGTTGATAATGATCGCTCATTCGCGCAGGTAATGCCGAGAGTCAATAAAGAGAGGAGCTCACATCCAGAAGGAGGAGGAGCTACAGCGGAGTGCGAACCACTCGAGATTTTGATATAAGGAGAGGGAATATCGGATGCCGAGCAGCGCAAGACACTCCCCTTCATTTATCGGGGAGGTCGAGAGTGATAATCTTTAACCATTTGTTGACCAGTTTATATACCTAATTCAAATATTCGAGATTTACATCAACATGGAGAGCGACCCTTTCTTCGTGCAATGCCGAAGATGATACGTTCCGCCTATCATCCCGCATAGGGAACAGATGCATTCGTCCGAGGGGTCATGGAAGCCTCTGCGGGAGCAAGTTTTGTGGTGAAAGCCGTGCATCGTAAACCGGGTAACGAGATGCCTGTTCATGTAGTCGGAACCCTTCCAACGGTCTGAAGAAAAGGCCTCGGTGTAGAAAACTTCGGGGTCCACGTCCGTCAGCCTCCGCTCCCACTCGCGACAGTGCTCGGCAAAGGCCTCGGTCACCGGCAGATTGAATCTTCGCTGGACCTGCTCCGAGAGTAATGGGACATTCGCCACGAGATAGACGAGTCTGTTTCTGCTAGATCGGTGCACTCGCAGCACCCTTTTGAGAAAAGCCGCCTTAAGGCGATCCAGCTGCATGAGGTGCGATCCGCCGAGCTGAGCCCAGATCACTGGGATCCCGTAACAAGCCGTCGGCTCGATTTTCAGAGTGAAGAGAGCCTCGGCCGTCTTCAGGGAGAGCTTGTGTGGGTTCTCGATGCAGTGAAAAGCGAGATGACCCACGTGAACTCGTTCGCGGAGATGCCGTGAGAAGGAGCAGCCAAACGCCGAGAAGAAAATTCCGAGGTACGGGAAGTGATCAAGAGTGTCCGATTGAATTCTGAACTGATCTGAGCCCGAGGGTCTACCACCGCGGCGGGATTTGAGAGCTTTCGACTTCGAGGCGTTGATCTCGAGATCATTCTCAACGACATATCGTTGCAGACTCCCCAGGGCCTGTTGGAGATGGAACCGACTCGACGAGAACAGGGCGAGGTCGTCGGCGTACATGAGCACTTGTACTTGGGGGTGGCGGTCTTGTACGCGCCTAGGCAAGTCGCTCACCAATGTCGAGAAGAGGAGGAGGCTGAGGCAGTCTCCTTGGGCAACCCCAGTCGTTTGCCGGATTGGTTCGCGTCGACAACACCGTCTTCGAGTAAGACGAGATCTTCCTATAAGATCGCGAAAAGGAGGTTCAGAATGTGGCTCGGGACGCCAGCTTGAGCTAACCTCTCCAGAATGATGCTCCGCGATGCAGTATCAAAGGCCGACCGAAAATCGACGAAAACCACATAGAGGCTCTGCCGAGGACGTCCCAGGACCCTCCTGACCCTGTTGAGAAGCACAGAGGCCGCCGTATAAGTAGACATTTCTCTTCTGAAACCGTGTTGCTCAGGGGAAAGGAAGCTCTCGCTCTCCAAAAAGACCTCGAGGCGTCGGGCGAGGATCCCGGATAAGAGCTTGTAAATAACATTCTTCTTGGCTATACCGCGGTATGAGGACGGTGCCAGGGGGTCACCCTTGCCTTTTGGGATGACCCTCAGGAGGCGCTCGCTCCAAGATCGCGGAAGCTCAGCTGTTTCCAAGATCTTGTTGAACATGGCAGTGATGACTAGGCTCAATACGAGGGCCTGGCGCAGGTGCTCGTTTCGAATTAGATCGGGGCCAGTCGCCTTTCTCAGGGGGGAGACCATAATCGCGCCTGCCACCTCGTCAACCGAAAAGCGTTGCCCGAGGATCGTCCTCGATAGTGATGTCGTCGCAGACCACACAGATGGGTAGAGCGGAGTCTGATCTGGGATCGAGTTCGCTCCAGTGAACATCTTCCTGAAGTGTTCCCGGAGTGCAGCGGAGGGCACTGGGCACGCCGTCACACGAGCCTCAGATCGGAGCCACCTGTATGGATGGCGGGCAGCCTCACGGAGCAGAATGGCCTCGACCCTTTCGGAATGGGCCGCCTTAGCGTCTCGGATCACTCGGCGGTAAGCTCGCCTCATTCTCGTGTAATTCGATGTCATATAAGGCTGGATTCTGGACAGAATGTATGCCTGCATCATGTACGATCTCGCGAGACGGCAGGCCGGAGTAAACCACGAACCCTCCCGCCTCGGGTTTTTCCTGAGTATGCCCTGTCTTATGCTGTCGACGATCGCCGAGTTGAACTCTTCAACCGAGATATCTTGCGGATTATAGAGGAGAGGCGAGGCGAGTAGCAGAAGACGTGACAAGTCCAGTTCCCGACTGAGTCCATCTCGCCCTAGGGGCAATCTTTGACATTGTGTTGTCGTTACCCTGATTCCGACAGGTAGATGGCTCCTAACTCCTCTAGGCCCGCAGCCGCCTCTGAACTCCCGGATACTGCACCTGCTTCCCTGGAATGTTTGTGAGAAAGAGGTCGATCGTGGATTTGCCTCGGGGGCCGATGAAAGTGTGTTCGAGACTCTCAGTTGGCATCCAGAGCCCACGTAGTTCCATAGTTCGGAACAGAAGCTTCGTCTTGCGGGTTGAAGGCTTATCGACTGGGCAGTTGAAATCACCGCAGACCAGAGTCGGTTTGGTGAGATTGACGGAGTCAATGGACGTTGTGACCTTTTCTAAGAAGACTCTCGGCTCCTCCGCTGGACTAGAGTACATTGCAATGATATTGATGCTCTCCGCGGCGAGGATCACGCAATTGTCCGAGGTGGACACTATCCTGACGTTTCCGAGTTGATTACTATACAGGACAGCAACGCCGCCACTTGGTCTGCCGCGGCCTCCAGCTTTGACCGCGAGGCATTCGACGGCGTAGAAGCCCTTAATGTTGGTCTGCGTGGTCGTCCAAGTCTCAGTCAAAACAATGACATCGAATTTCGACACGTCTTCCTGGGATAGGAGCGTCATCGCATACTTGGCGCCCTCGCAGTTCCATTGGAGTACAATCAGTGTCTGGGGGGAGGTCGAGCTCCCCTCCCGAGGTAAGCTCCGAGGGCCGCTCCGATCAGGTCGGCAACCGTCGGAGGGTTCGGACTCTTTGGGCTCCTCTTGGGACCGAAGCCCGTGCTCGATGCCCGCGCACGAGTCCGTTCCGGCAAGGGAAACCCTCTGCCTCGTTCGTTCGTGAGCTTCTTGCCGGTGGGTGGCCTCGATAATCGGCCCGGCCGTTTCATTCCCTCGCATAGGTCTCTGAGTTTCAGTAGCGGGTCGACCGGGGCCTCTCTCGGGGAAGTCGGCACGAGCGGTGTAGAGGACCGCTGCCGGGCCTGCAGGGTCGGGGGTCTCGGAGGCGTCCCCCGCTCGCGCCCCGAGGGCTTGGGTTTCCGGTTCGGAATCTTGATTCCCAGAAAAACCGCTGCACTACGGGCAATAGCCTTCGAGCAAGCTTCCGCCACATCGTCCAGCCCGGAGTAGGTATAGATTCCCTTGTTGAGCATTGGCCGGTGAGCCTGGATTGCATCGATAGTCCGAATACCCAAAGAATCCTGTTTCTCGATCAGGAATGCGTTGGCGTCCCCACTCTCGGACGAACTGAGGGATTGTGACCAGACTCAACGAGCAATCTGGTCTCTTGTCTCGGAGGTTCGTTGCGAAGTCGGACACACAAGAATCATTTAAGCAGTGCAATGGAGTTCAGGAAGAATGGTAATCCTCTTTCTCATGAATTTTTCATTCTTGCTTCTGAATTCATTTATTCATTGTATAATTGGGAACTTCACTCCCAAACATGGATCTGACCATCATCCGGGTCTGTATCCCAGCGGGGAACAGCGTATGTGTGTAGAAGAACCGATTGACCCTTGGACATCAGTGGTGCTATGAACCCTCCGTCACCTTATTCTCTGATGACATGTACTTGAAATAAAAATCCGAACGAACTCCGAAGAAATTCTTAAAATATCCCGCTCCTCGTTCCGGTTTCGTTCTACCGTCGTGGAATCACTACTCGTTCTGGGCAAGTCATCCTCAGCATTCGAGTCGCAGCGACTTGCGACACTTGGCTTTTACTTCTCTCCCGTCACTTTCTTTGATTAGGGTTTGATCGGTTTGCTTTTCGTCAGCGAGTCTGATCGGATCAGAAGCGGTCGCTGGTGATCAGTCGAGTATTTTGGAATGTACGTCGGTCGCATAAAGCCGTTCGAAGTCTGTTGTGGGTCCTCGAGCTCACAAAACGAAAGGAATGATCGCTTTGCGGCTTCGGGGATAATCTTTGAATTCCTTCTTGTAGTTCCTGTGCTTGCCAAGAGCCCAGACAGCCATTTGATAGAATCCGGCGAACGTGAAGAGACCCGCAGGCACGCAGTTCGTCATGGCACTGAAAGCGATCCAGGATAGAACTTCATAGGTGTAATTGGGGCAGGAGACGAAGTCGAAAAGTTTCGTGAACGGGTTCGCTGTTGGGAACGGAATGCGACGTTCCTTAGAACCGGCTGGTCGGAGGTTCCGCAGAGCGATATGGATGCTGAGGTTTCCGAGTTCAGCGAACTGAAAGGGAAAAATGAAACCGTAAGCTCACGGATCATCCACGCAAGGGCATGGGCGACTGTGGCCCGGATAATCGTGTGGTATACGGAATGCCGCAAGCTGCTGCTTACCGCAAACAGGGCGAGAGCGCCGTAGATCTGCCACGAACAAGCCGGGGGAGTGTAAAGAGTGTGGTTGACGTAGTAGGCGATGTAGAAGCCGAAACCCCAATAGTAGGAGCAGTTTTTGAAGAGATTCATGATTGGCATCGTTCCATGGGAGAATCGGTGGATGAAAAGAGTCTCGAGGAGTCGCTTGCCGTAATGGATAGCCCAGCAGGCGGCCGCAATGTGGACCACATCTGCATAAGGTGTATCCCTGGCTCCTTTTCCATAGATCACAGCCGGACGGGTGTAAGTAAGTAGGTACACGAAAAGCGGACCTGCGTATTCAACCAGGAAAACCGTCTTCCAGCCAATTTGTGGTCCGAGATCTTTCAGAATGATCTGCTGGCCCGACTTGATGCCTGCGCTCTCCAAGGTGACGCTGTCATTTAAGGATTTCGACTCTGCAAGAGAAATCGGCTCAATGAGTCTCTGGAAGTATCGGAGGCGGTTGTTTCGAATTCATTCAAGCTCGGGATCAGTGCTAGCTCAATGGGCCACCCTCGAGGAGAATCGCGCCCTGATCACTTACTTGCGTCGATCTTCAGCGACTGACGGTCCGGATAGAGGTTCTTTTCTGGAGTAAAATAGATACGAGCTCAGATCAGTACCCATGCGTATCCGGGAGCACGATGTATGATTTTCATTCTACCATAGGGTTCCCTGCTCTCGAATGAGGAACGTTGGACTGATATCTGGACTCGCCGTACTTACTCGTGGCATAGATCTTCTTCTTGACGTCGAGGATCGTCGAAACTGCGGTGAGCTGCGAGAGGAGGAGGAGGACGGTTAATCGGTTCGGAGAATTCATACGGGACGTTTGGAATCTGTAGGTAAAGGAGCGACGGCATTTTGAATGATCAGAATATTGGTCCACGGTATTCACTTACGCCGGAAACGGTGCATACGTCCTTCTTAGAAGATCCTTGCACAATATGGAGCTGTAATCCATGAAAAAGAGTCAGCACCTCTAATAACCCTATGATATATCATTTTCCCAAACCGCTCTTGATCTCAGTCACAGAATTATTGTTGTGGAATATTTTGAGTGCATTCTCTATATCGAGCGAGTGGTTCTGCGATTCCCAACAACCCAGAGCTGGTGGAACATGTGTTAAATCAAGAGCTGTTCCATTTGATCGATCGATTTCAAAATTATGAACAAACTGTCAGAGAACTCTGAACAGGAATGAAACCTGAACATTCCCTGTCGAGGTTCTCAATATTGAGACACAGCATCAGGAACATCTGGCCTCTGATATTCTGGAAGCGGGAAGGTGCCTCGAGCAAGTCGCTCTGGTCAGGAAGAATGGAAACGTCACTCGAGGGGAGATGGGCCGTGGACCCCCGATGGTGAGACGATCGGTTTTCGCCTCGCGAGCGAGTTGCACGAACGACGTACACCTCAAGTTTACCGGAAGATCTTTCGTTCTACGGCGCTCACTACTCGGAACGACTTCTCCCGCTTTCTTCGCGGAGGAGGAAGGCCAGGGACTTTTCTCATTTCCGATCGTCTCGAAAAGTTGCCGAAGTATGAAGGTCATCCGAAGTGCGTCACCAGTACTCCGAAGTGACCGGATACGACGAGTGGAAACGGATCGACCGTCCTGCTCACTCGTGTTCGGAATTGAAGCTACTCCCGGATATGTGCTGTCTTCATGGAAAAATGGCTTCCTCATCCGAAGAATGCATGGCGAAACCTCACAGAAAGCGACTCGCGCAAGCGACACGATCCGACTTCATGGGATGTACTGGCAGAAACCGGCATCAAAATCCGATTTTGAGAAGCCAATCCGACGATGGAATTGGGAAGAATAATAAATCCGGTGCTATTCTTATGAGGAAATCGGCCTTTAATTCTCGGCTCCGACTTCCCCATCTTCAAGAATTGGAAAATCTCACGATCAAACCAGGATAGAACACCAGAGGGCTCGGCTGACCGAGAAAAAAGATTACCTTGAAGGTGAAGTTCCTCTTCAGAGTGTTGTGCATACAAAGTTCCGTCATTTCACGAAAACACTCAGAAAATGACAAACCGAAGAGAAGGAGGAAAAAGCCCCGCGAGAACGAGATGTGGCGAGGGCTGAGCTGCTCACAGAATTCACTCCCGGCCGTGAGAGCCTCGAGTGAAAATTTTGAGCGAAGCACATGAGACGAAAGTCGACCCCACGAGTGATTTATCACTGCAACATTAGAATTTCTACCGGACATTCTCGCCGGCGGGAAATAAAGCCGCGGTAGAGCCTGTAGGCCGAAAAAAGTTTCGGTGTCAGTCCGCTGCTGTCCAATTGACAAATCTGCTTGCCCCGAAAGAATCGTCCACGGAGGATTCCAGGTAACCTGAATCTGTTTATCATGACGATGTCCACTTTGGGCTACCTGAATGAGAATCTCGGGATCATATTTTTGTTCCAGAGTCTTTCTCGACTCGAGGAAAAATGGTGGATTATGTTGGTACCAAAAGATTCGCTCCGAGAACGATCTCTAGGTCCCAGATCTTGGTGGAATAAGATGCCGCATAGCGATCCAATGACCTCGAGCAAGAGGCCGAGACTAGGACGCTAATTTGGGACGCCTGATGAACTAAAGCGTCCGGGTCTTCAAGCCGCGCAAAGAAACGCCAGAGAGCGCTCTCTGAGCTTGTATAAGGGGTCGCCTCCGCTACGACAGCGTCCTCAATTGAGTCTGTCGGACTCTTCTAACCCGCATTGAGATTACTAGATATCAAACTCACCTCCATCGTGCCGGTAAGAAGCCTATCAGTCGGATAGTCAACGTCAGCAGCTCTTTGGGACGTAAAACTTCTTCATGAGAGAGGGAACAAGACGATGATGATGATGATGCCGCACGAAGAAGAGAGGGAGAAAGTCGTCTGCACCAAGCAGACATGGTGGCTTGAAGCACCCGGAAGCGGAGAAAGATATTCGGCATTTCGCGGAGAAAACGTGTCGCATACTCTCGGACTGCGCAATATATCCGTTCGGTGGAAGCTCAGGGGAAGATTCGTTCTTGGAAATCCTCGATTCGATTCCGCGAGAATTCATATGAAATTGCTTCTCTACGTCGGCGGTTGTGGGGTGCAGCAGTCTATCATGGCGGGATTGTTTTTTAAAGCTCCGATCATTTGGTCATTCTGAGAGAACATCAAGAAACAAAACGTTACTGGAACCTCAAATTTTTTGGTGACTCAGCTGATGTCCAGTTATTGTGTTTCGAGAACTGAATTCATCATCACACATGGTAAGCGCTGAGCCGTTGCCACCGTAGAACCTGATCTTGAGGAATCTGGTCACCGTTCGAGGACCTCTTTCCGGAGAGGAGTAAGGGATGGGAATTATGCCTTCAATCGAACTCGCTCATCAGAGGCTGAGATATAAGGGAAGACCGGATAAAACAGACACTCTCCCGACTTCCGATCTCATAGGCTCTCAAATAATGACCTCGGATTCAAAGGAGAACGGGCCGAGGGGTGTCCCCCTCAAGGGATCTCCAATGAGCGGGTTCGACTGTGCGTGCGTATCTCTGGACTCCGGAGACAAGTCTCTCCGGACAAGAACCTGCTCAATGTATCCGTCTACATATTTTGGCGCTGACTCGCATTGCGAGAGGGATATACTTACCTACAGCCGCTGATGTAGTAGACTCGTTCGAGGCTGTACTGAAAAGGCCATAAGGCGCGTGAAGTACTCCGGTAGACAGAGTCATGTCACAGAGACTCACCGCTCTCTTTTCCGCAGTCAATAGACTTCTACTGTGATGGCGAGTCACGTCGCAGGGCTCAAGGATGGGCAATACGAGCCGGAATCGTTTTGGCGTGAAGGTTCGAATGGATGATATAACCCCTGTCGAATTCATTTCGCAGTCTGCCAATTTTCGGAAGAAGAAATGCATTGTGACATCGTGTTCGCGATCAACGGACGACGGTGTGAAACTCCATCGCTGTGGGGAAAATCATCAAGAAATCGGGAAAGCTCTCGGTAAATTCAACATCACGAAGAACACCTACATCTGCTCGGTACGTGCCAGATCAGAGCGATGTTCTTAATTTGTCGAGGTATTTGGCTGCAAGGCAGATAGGAGCGACGGAAGGAGCCTCGAGCTTCCTCTCTTTTCACAGCTACATTTCGAGCCGTCATGTTTTTCTCGCAAAGGAGGGCTGAACCCCGATGCTTTGCCGACTTTGCTGCTCAACGCCGACGCGCCATCGGTCAAGCACTGCGACGTACCCTTCTGCCCGAACACGGATGCTGACGTCGTTTTCTTCAAAGGACGTCCCGCATTCGCAGCTATCGGAAAGGAGATTGGCGTCGATTTGACCAAGGGATGGATTTGCGGGGTGAGTTTTCCCTACCCTCGTTACAAAAAGCAGACTCTTGGGAACTCCGGGTGATATCGGAGGTGACAATCGAAAATAACGGAATGGTCTTACAGGAACATTTCGAGGAAGACTACGTGGACGACAAAGGTCGCTTGAAAGCCAATGCCCTACCGACCTTAGGGTTCGTCACCGAGGACACCGACGGCGCCTTGAACCAAGTGACGGTTCACGTTGTCAGCTCGAATCAAGGTACGTTCTCGACTCTCTCAGAATAGGGAGATGTCTGGTGCTATGGGGTGCCCGAACAGAATTCATCTCCTGCTCCGACCGGGCCTAAGAACAATGGAGCGCTTCTCGGGTCAAACTCGATGTGAGACATTGGATGAAGAGTAGTAGTTCATATGTTCAATAGGACTTGAACTATGGGACCACCGCGCAAGAAGTCTCATGAGTTATCGGATCGTTTACCTGCGAATCGATCGCCTTGGAAGCCTATAGAATACGACATGCATGATCGGACCGAGTTTCGACGGCCCTATGCGCGGTTCAACTAGACGGGTTCCTCTGAAGCTCGAGCAAGACCTGGATGTTGAAGGGGTTTTCAGAAAGTCCAATCGAAGTCGTTGATCTACCCGCACATGGCCGTATCGCGTGAGAGGCTTTTACACCGACGTCTGCCTAAGGACCTGAGGTTTTTTGCAAGAACCAAGGCTTGCTCGATTCAACTTGGCGGCGTGATCAAGAACCTTCGAAGCCTCGCAGTATCGCTTGCCTATCCGTACAAAGCGAGGGATTGAACATTCTGTGAGCCCCGCGTCCCCGTGTTGTCTCGTTCACCTGTCCTCTTGACAAGATGAGGACTCATCGGAATCTAGTTCTCTCTATCGAGCTAAAATTATTGAAAAGAGAGCTCGCTACGAGAAATCTTCTCTCATGGAGAATCTCTTTAGCGTGGTTGTTCTCGATTCCAGACAGCACCGTGGACTTGATGCTATCCGATGATGTTGTAGCCGATATCGTCGACGATTGTAAAGATCTCGAAGTCCGCGCAGAAAATAACAAACTCAGGCTTGAGCTACAAAAAACTCAGGAGAAGCTAGGTGAGTTATGCATCGTTCGACGGTCTGGGGCATTCGCGGAAAGCTCGAGGAACCGATCAGCTTGACGAGGAGATGAATTTCCAGAGAGTCTACGGAAAACAGTGAAGCTTCTACAGGACGACCTAGTGACCAAGAAACGGAAAATCGACAATCTAGAAGCTGAACTCAGACTTGCGAACAAGGCCGCCCGACACTTCGAAGTTCGTATCGTGAACGAATAATTCTCCGTGGTTGACTGGGGGATATCTCAGTCTTGTATATAACAATTTTATTGACCAGCAAGTTCCGCAGCTCGAACTTATCTTACTGTAAATCACTTGAGCATTAGAATACTATCGATTTTGTTATTATGAATAAAATCAACGTTTGACCGTAACTCGTCATCCGACCGGGGTAGAGTATTCCGCGAAATCGACATCGCACTGGAACTACTTCTTCGATTTCGTACGTTTTTTCGAAGAGTACTTGGCCTCGAGATCAGCTATGAATTTGTCCGCATCCGAAGCTCGCTTCCGCTGGTTACCGAGGATCATCATGGAGAGCTCATCGTTCTCAGGTTCGGTAGACCGTGCTTTGTTACTGGCTACTTCCTCGGCCTCCTTCTCGAGATTTTCCCGCCTCTTGCGTTTGCTGGCGGCGGTTTCCTTGGAGAACGCTGGATAGTCTTTGATCTCCTCTGACTCTATCATCTCCCTCAACAATGAGCACAACCTGTAGAATAGGAATCATTCGAGTGAATGGTAGATCGAGACTTGATACTCAAGAGCCGGATCGGAGCTGGATACTCCCTCTTCCGATGGGAGTTAATTCGAACTTCTGTCACGAACCTGTCTTCATTGTCGAGGGAGTAACCAATGTGACACTGGGAGATTTTATTCATGTCGCCTTTGAATCTTTCGTAGTATTTCTTCAAATCCTTCCTTTCGAGCTCACTGCCGATGTATTTCTTGAGGAAATCGTCGACGCACTTCAGAGTCACTTTCGGGAATAAATTCCTCCAGTAAGTGTCCCAGTTACGATTCGAGTCAATTGCCTCGTCGTCGACATCGCCGGTCTCGTCGTACACCTGTACGACGAAACACGTCATGAGCGAGCGGCTCCCATGATATGCGGGGAACAGATCCAATGGACTCTTACAATAGGAGAGATGCATATCCGGGAAATCCTGAGATTCCGTTAGTTGGCTCACAATAAATATTTATGCAGAACTGCATCATGAGCTTCTTACCTTCCGTCTCTCTTCATCCTGCAACAAGTCATAGGTTTTGCAAAGAGTTTGAAACTTCCTCGTGAATTCATCTTTCTTCTCCGCTGGAGCTTTATCGGGGTGGCACATAAGGCTCTTCTTGCGGTACGCCTTCTTAATGTCATTCGTTGTGGCGGTCTTCTCGACATCGAAAACCTCGTACAGACAGTCGACTTCGAAAATCTCCTTAATGTCACTTAGGAGACCCATTTTTCACCGGCGTGAGACTTGACAGCGCGTGATGACTCGTAGGACCATCAGACCAAACAGACCCTCACAAACGTCTTTTATGGCGCGAAAACCAATGTCGTCTAGAATAGCAGCTGGTATCGATCAGCCTCAACTTCAGAGAGACTCGGAATCTCTTAGAGAACGTGTTCCGCTGGAACGCTCCTTTCGCCAACGAGAGGACCGCTTTGGATTGGGCTAGCGCTCCAGAAGGACGACAAGAGGCGCGCCGAAAGGAAGCGGATCGGGATCGAAGTTTCAAGTGAAGTTCGACGCTTATCGAGAGCAGCTGCAGACGATTCTGAGTACTGATGATGATGATCTCTGCTTTGAAACAAGTAATCCGGGAACTCGCGAGATACTTCAGAGTTCATAAAGTGAATTGGAGTAGTATGCGGTCTATCGATTATTCTGCCTCACATCTTCAGTTAGATCGAGGTGTCATTCCTACAAATAATTGACCTCAGGTCAGCACAGCGGTCTTTCAGAGTCGGAGACCCTACAGAGAACAACGGAAAGCCACGAGAAACGCGAAATTGGGTCGTATGGCCCGGCTCTACGGTGGAGAACTCGAAGATGTAGAAGGAAGGGCAAAGCAAAAGAATGTGACCGAAGAGCTCACGACAGACTCCGCTCTGCTGCCAGGGGAGAGGAATAACAGTATCGAGTCCTTCTGCCACATGGATCGTAGTACGTGAGGCGCTCGAGACTCGAGACCCCGACGGATTCCTCCGTTTGCAAACTCCGGTCGAGAAGTTTCAAGTATACCGTGCACATACATACTGTATTTAGAGTGCTGAGGGCAGCCAACGAAATTGACATTTGGGCTTCCAGAGCCTCCATTGAGGCAATTCATATCGGGACAGGACGGGCGAAAATCCTAGACTGGCTCTTCGCAACGATCACAGATCATACACATGTACGAGCCCTGCTCAGAACTGTCTCTACGGACTTTCGACTTGGCGCAACGGGGATTCGCTTGGAGAGCCGCATCAACCACGCTCAATATCTGGACCCGATCGTAATCTGCGACTCTTATCTTGAGTGCTCCGGTCGAATTCCCAGATCGAGCGCACAAATCCATCGACGTGAGCCTCCCCTGCCCATTTTGAGGTATGACATCGGTCATGCCAGCCTCATTTGAGAGGAGGAGAAGAAGGGGAATCGATACCCATGTATTTGGAGATGACTTCAGAGTCCTTTGTGTGGAGAGGATATCCTTACGGCTCATTGCGTTTAGGTGATGAGCAGTCGCTCCCGATCGGACCTCGGAATTATTTCCTCACGGCATTCTACGTCCACAAGTCTCGACGTGCATACCTACGTGTATAACAACCGTCTTTTTTCATCAAGAGGTCGTCGGCTCGGACGATTGGTGACTGCATGCCGGGGGACTCGGTCGTCTCGGGGTGACGCTCCGCAGGCCTACGGCTGGCTTCTGGTGGCAGTTGACTTCAACAAGACCCCGAGGAAGAGAGCGCCTATTATGCGATCCTCGACGAGCGCTGAAAGCTCGAACGGCCTCCACGAGAGCGACTAGGATTGCCACGCCTGATCCAGTCCATGAAAAGTTCATCGAGAGCCCGTTCTCGGATCAACCCGAATCCGGCTGCTTCAAGCCGAAAGTAGCGAGGTACTTGAAGAATTTCGCCTTCGCTCTCCGCTTGTTCGAACAGCATCCGTGCTGCTTCTCGACAGATCCTTTTTCTCCCCCGATGCAGAGCATTTGAACTCTTCGGAATGGCGCTGCCGACAGATCGTGTTCCAATAGTTTCAGAGCGTACGCATTCCATTCAAAGTTCTCTATGTACGACAACGTGACCACGCACTGCCGGGCACCGGCATTGAACGGGCAAATATCGTTGCCAAACCGATATGGATAGAGAACCCACTTCCGCGCGGTGTGCTCCAAGGTAACGTGATGCATGTGGATGAAATCGAAAAAACGGCGTATATCCTTGATCTCGGATCGGGAGCTGCAGACGACGCACCTACCTCTTTGGTTCTTCCGGAGACTCGCCATCCAGCCCCGAAACCGGTCTGACCTTATCGTTTCGTAAACACCTCGAGAATCGACTTTATAATTAGCGTCTTCGCAAGTCTGAATCCGGGAGAGTCGCAACGCGCTCGGTACGCTGATTGAGGAAGTCAGATCGTCCTCCAGGATAAACGAGAAGAAAATGTTTCCGAGGATCCATGAATCACCCGCTGTTGCGATGTTCCTCTTGAGTCGTTCGGGACAACTTCCCGAACCTGAAATCGTACACAGGAGCCCGAGAAAAGTTCCGGTAAACGAAACGTTGCCGAAGAACCAGATCGATGCTCCGAGCAGAAACATGATCCTCAAGATGGATTCGTTGAGCACATCTTCCCGTATTCCGGAGACTGGAGCATGGGTATCGAAGCCGTACGCGACGGATCCCTGCTCGCTCAAGAGAGTTAGCATGAAATGGGTCTGGCCGGCGTTCAGATTGCCAAACTCGTACGGTACCGTAGTATTGAAACAGGGTTCGGAGGTGCTTGAAAATCAAATAAAATTCTCATTCGATCGACGATTCTCCCAGACGACGCAGACTTTGAGCAATACTGATACTCAGAGCACAAGGTGTGGAGTTCCTGTTCGAGTTCCAAATAGTGAGGCACTCCCTTATCGACGACGGTCTCTTAGTTCTCTCGACGTTCATTTTTGGAGCCGAAAGGCATTTTGATTATGAATTTTTCCGTGCAGTCGAATGGTAAGGGAAACCTCCTCCAGTCGGAGGCGTCCACGAGAATGATTACTCTGAATTCGCCCGGTAGAAATCGCGACAGATTCTTGATATTGCGATAGGGGCCGACGTTTCGAGTGATCGCAACGAGAAGGTCGGTTAAATCGACCCGGCGAGGCGGCGAAGAATGGACTTTCCTGGATTCTTCTAAGAGATATCGCATCTTACGATGTGATCGGTCCAAATTGTGACAGAAGAAAACAATCCTCGGCTTGCGCTTCAGTCCACGAGGATCACCGAAACTGTCGCTTTCGATGAAGTTCCGGAGATTCCTTGTGAGAGTTGCATGTGAAGATTCCGAACCAATGTTTCAAGCGGCAATCAACGAGTTCGATTGATAGGGTTCTTGTATTTAGGGCTCACTCAATAAGCTGAACCGAAGACGAAATGATTTTCTCTTCCGATTCCGGAACATGGTACACCGATTTGAGACGGCTGAATGCCGAATCTTCTCGACCCACGGAGGCTAAGCTTATGGGCTTTGGACTCGAGCTCATTCCACTCGGAATAGAATTATCGCCCCTAGAGAGCAAAGACCGCAGCCGAATAACCTCCTGTTGCACCGAACTTTCGAGACAAACCTCATTTCGGGGTCTCGCTCCCCGAGCCGTCCGTCAATACGGGAGACGTACAATGGAATACGGGAGATGTCGAACTTAAGCAACAAGCTGCGATATTTGTCAACGAGCCCTCTGAGCGAAAGGATCTGCCGATCCACCCCTCTGTACGACTTCGGAGACGCCGGCATTCCTTTGATCGGTCAATGAGAAGAAAGGAGACCGATGGTTTCACATCGGGAAGAACTTCCATTCCCGAACAGGATTGACGGAGTCAAGTTCGCGCGGTTCGTCGGTTGGAGATAGCGAGTCGATGGCCTCGTGCGGTACTTTGTATGTACGCGACCTGTATCGACTTTCGAGAAACTCGTGGGAGGCGATGCCAAAAGTTCTAGGAGTTCGCATGCATCATCAACCAGACTTTAGCTCCCCATTGCGAAAAGACACACACGAGACCTTCGACCCCCGAAGAGATTCAATGAATCGAGGGCATTGTCGACGCTCGCGAGTCGCGTGTGTCCCATACTGTCCTCATTTCACCAGCGAAAGTCCCGCAACCCTTGGCTATCTGAGCTGGAATGACTCGTGATGATCGACGAGCTCCTGCTGAGGAGTTCTACATCGGTACAGCTCTATCCGAGAGAAGGAATCGGTTTCCTCAATCAAATCTCCTTCGTCTTTCGAGGAGCGTCTCCATTTATTAGGGATCGGAGAATATTCTCCTCAATTTCTAGGAGCTTCTGAGCCATTGGATCGGGCACGGAAAGACTGTAGTCTTCTAACATAATTCTCGCCAGAAGCTCGCACCAATCTGATTTATCAGCTGTTGCCTCTCCTGTGAGGTACCCAGTCCAAATATCCTCGTCGTCTTCTTGGAGAACTCCGATGACGATCCCCAGATTCCATGTCGCGCCGTCTCTGGTAAAACCAGTCTGGTCCGTGAACTTCTGGTTTTGGCGCAGGAACTCGATTTTCCTCGCAAACTCGTGAATATTTCGCGATCTCTTCAGTTTCTCTAGGTGTTCCAGCTCGACCGTGATGCAATCATTCGGGTTCTCGTCGAGAACAAAGCCGTAATTCAGGAAAAGCGTCCGGTTGTCGTGGCTGCCGTAGCCGATGAAAACTTCGCTCCCGGCCTCGTAGCCTACGTTACTACGGATGATGAAATGGTTGTTCACAAATGATGTTTCGATGGATGCCTTCCAATGGTGATTGAGCAAATCCAAAAACGGAGCCAAAGTACTCCCGTGACCCTCCACGTAAATGCATCGGGTGTTCACGGCGCTCCAGGCCCAAGAGAAAGTTTCGAAGTTCAAGTCGATTCCTCTTCCACGGAAGAACATTCGCAATCTCGAGAAAACGTTCCGTCTCTCGGCGTTCCATCTGTCGATGGCTTGAGCGAGCCGACGCGGCAAACGTACACTTTTCCTGCACTGCAGACCGTCGAAAACGTCCGGGATCGACTCGATGTAGGGTTTCCATTTTGATTTCTCTCCCAGGCTCCTCTCCGAGAGAACGAAAATCGTCAAAATCTCTTCAGCGGAAAGGTTCTCCTTACTCATATTGAGCTCTTTCCGCACTAGATCCGGAGTTATCAGCAGAGTCGATGGGAGATCGATGATCACATCACCTGCTTCTATATTGCTGAGACAAACTATACCGCGACCCGAGGCAGGCGTACATGCAAGTCTCAGAACACTGGTCGGCTTGAAGCCGAGTCTCTGAATCCAGGAGTAGAGTTCTCCGATCCATTTGGGCGATAACAGATTTCGCGGTCTTCGTTTACGCTTCCTCCGGGTTCGACCCATTTTCCCGCCACGATTCCCGTTGAGATATCCGAAGGGTGACGATCACTGCTCGAACCCCTCCGAATCCGCGCAACCTATAACTGCATCGTTTCTAGGCGGGGGCGATCAGAATCTGCGGAGTTATCGAAGAGACAGAACGCTACGCTCTCCTTCGGAACGCGCGGCCCAGGCGTCAGCTGATCGCTTCCATTTCGAAATAATTCTCCGACACATCGCATTGAGCGCTGAGTGAGTACCGAGATGACGACCACCAGCGACACTCAAACAGGAATTCATCTCTGTCCAAGGAATTAACGGCGGAGCTTTCCGTGAATCTCTGTCCGTCCGATCCGACTGTCGAACTCTTTCTCCTTCTTAGCGCAGAGGTAGGTCCTAACTGACCTGCCACCGCGCATCCTCAAATAAGGAATGGCTAATGACAGTGACTCGGACGACGAGTTACCTCCCGGCTGGAGAGAACAAGCCAACAAAGACGGTTCCGTCGCTTTCATCAATGCCTGCACCGGTCAGTTTCTGGTTCTGAAAAGTCAGATTCTCCCCATTCGGAAGACACAATATTGAAGACACCTGTCGAGCTCACGGAAAATAGGGATTGCACTCGGTTGATCGGCGAATGAACCAGTCCCGCCGATTTCGGAGGCGCTCCCTCCTACGTTCAGAACTAAAGAACTTTCCCTGGCTACAGGCGAGGCAACATTCGAGCACCCGGTGACGCGCAAGCGAAAATGCGTTCCCAAAGAGCTCCCCTTCGGATGGGTCGAGCAATTCGACGGAGGCAAGGTTTTTGTCAACTGTCAAACCGGTCAAAGAACAACCGTCGACCCACGACTGGCCTTCAAGACGGAAGACACCGACACGTTCCGGCGGAGATTCGACTCGCACGCCACGTGCTGGGATGTGCTCGAGGGCATAAACTTATCGAATAAAACTGTTCTCGTCACCGGCGGGAGTGCCGGGATCGGATGGCTGACCGCCTTGAGTCTCGCAGCTCACGGATCGCGTGTCGTTTTCACAACGAGGAACTTCGCGCAGTCGGAGGATGCTATCAAACAAGCTCTCAGTGACCGACCTAATCTGAAGCTGGAAGCCATGTTTGTCGATTTCCTGGATCTCTCGAGCGTCCGTTCCTTTGCTTTCGAGTTCAGAAAAAAGTACGACACTCTGAACATCCTTATCCTCAATGCGGGCATTTTCGGACCGGGTTTCGAGCTGTCGAGGGATGGTTTCGAGAGCACGCTCCAAGTGAACCATCTTTCGCAATTCTACCTCTACAAACAACTCCAGAGTCTTCTGGTGAGCTCGAGCCCGTCCCGAGTGATCGTTCTCAGCTCTGAGAGTCATCGTCAGTCTTTTCTGACGACCCCGGAGGATATCTCTGAGGAACGGCTGACTATGAAGAGTCCAGGCAGATTTTGGTTTTCTCTCGTTGCGTACAACGACTCAAAACTGTTCAACATCCTCTTCGCGAGAGAACTCGATCGGCGAATGAGCAAGCAGGGCATCCGGGCTCTCGCCGTGCATCCAGGGAACATGATCAGAACGAGCATAAGTCGTACCTGGTGGTTTTGGAAGCTGCTCTTTTTCCTCGCGTCCCCGTTCACCAAAAGCATAGAACAAGGCGCGGCAACGACCGTTTACGCTGCAGCATCTCCGGATATGGAAGATCGCGGGGCGTTGTACCTGAACAATTGCTGTATCTGTTCGGCTACCAAAGCAGCGAATGATGACAAGCTCGCCGAAAAGCTGTGGAGGGTGTCCGAAAAAATTCTGAAGGACCTCAACATGCAGTGAGTGCATATAAGCGAAAATGAATAAAGGCATAAAAGCTCTTCGGACACTTTCGATTCGTTCGAAATGTGGGAGATTTCCGCCGATCTACTCATTTGGATGGATTCCAGTCAGGAAAGTCTCTCTAATTCTCTTCGCTGAAGAAAGCGACTATACACAGCACAGAAAAGAGAACTGTGAGCGGGAGGAAAGTCGGAATAACTCCCTGTGATACCCTGACCTCGAGCGAGTGATCAAGATCCTTCGGGGTCGCGATGCCCCTCTTCGACTTCCGGAGCCTCGGATCAAGAAAGCCACCCTCAGGAGGACTTACCCTGCAGATCGACCGCTTCGTTCCATAAGATGACATCGTGTTCTAGTCTTCGCACTCCACTCATTTTTCCGCGCGGATGCCGTGCCATTGGCTGCGGGAAGCACAGCTCAACACAGGAGTGACAGCGATTCAAAATTAGAGCACAGCGAATATACAGGGTATTACGCTCCGGGATGGTTACCAGTTACCACGATATCGGGTCGAGCTAATTTCCCCGGGCCGCACTTCAACTCTCCAGCTGACGACAGCAGGATCTTGACGTGACCGGGAGCTTTAGTTCGCCTCTGTTGGGAAATAAACGAATGAATCAATTTGTGCTGCTGAACAATCCAGCCTTGCTTCAGTATCCCGGGTGAATGGGAATTTCTTCCGAGAACGGATTCAGAAGGCGAATCCGTTCGGGTGCATCCTGGACTTAGAAATAGAATGAGCAATAGAGTAGATAGATAAGCAGAACTGGATGCAACGCAAGTCTGCTCCGCCCCGCGCAGTCTAGGAGCTGATGGGGCTTTCCGCAGAATAACACTTGGCTCGAACTTGGCATCGCGCAATCGATTGGCTTTCGGATCGTTTGTGATGGTTGTAACTGAGAACAAGGCCTCTATTTCCGCGCTCGATTCTGGCGCTCCATGGGTGTGGGTTGTCATGTTTCTATTCACTGCTGGAGCCTATCCTGGTACGTTGGAGCCCGTATTACTCTCCAGGCTACGCAGGACACTGAGGAACGTCTCGAACTAATCATGGCTGCACCATGCGAGATCTCCCACGACGTGACAGTGAACTTTCTCATCAGTGTCGAGGGCGCACGGCACATCCATTCCCGCCTGGCGAAGACGACCCACGCGAACGATCTGTTGACGAAAACCGCCTGGGCCCATTCGAGCTGGGGGCCATAGTTCCGTGACAATTGATAGACCTCTTAAATTAAAGCAAAAAATGTGAGTTGTATCAAATGAGCTCGAAAGAGTGATATGTCATATCCGCCTCTCGAACCGGGTCGATCAGATGCTGGAATCTCATGCTTTCCGGCTGCCGTACAACACGCGTTCATCGACGCGACCGAATCCGACGGCAACCAGATTCTTGCGGACGAGAATTACAATACAGAGCCCTTTCCGATCGAATGGGATGGATTGTGGTCAAGCGAATAACAGCGAATCGAGCGCGAGGTCGAGTCTTTAGGGATGGCTCACCCGTTTGGAGACCACGATTACTTCCGGTCATCTTGCCCCCGACCATTCAGGTTTGGGCTCATTCGGAGACTCAATCAGAACACCGATAGAGAAGTATCCGCCTCCAAAAAAAAAGGAAGAATATCGTCATCGGTGTCGCACATGATGGCGAACACCGACAGTCTTTCTCGTTGACTTGCGGTTCGATGCACAGCGAAGAGCGTTTCCGATATGCCTTGTCGTTGCGGACCGGCAAGGAATGGATCAGCAAGAATCCTGTGAGAAGAGGGAGGAAAGACTCATATTTCAATCGAATGGCCTTGACCATAATTCAAGGCCGGGACAGCTTCCAGCCCAGATACAATAAATATTCGCTGTCTGTCGAGCCGGAAAAGCGGACGATCTAAGGATCGATAGATCGTTTCCTCTTTCGGCTACCCTCATTTCGTTCCTAGTGTAACGCTCATTGTGAGGCTCTATTTGGCTCATTGTTTGGCGCCGTCCGGCGTTCCGATCCCAAGCCGCCGGACGACGGAAATTCTTCGTCCGACCAACATAGCGAGCAGATTGTGAGGACTCTGTCGCCCCGTCAACCGCCCGTTCATGACGGACGAGGAGGAATGCATCCATCAATCTAAGCATGAAGGCTCCGTTCTCTACCTGGAGAGCGTAACTCTCTCTGGAACTGTCACCGGCCACGTCGAGAGTACATGCTATTTTATAATTCTTCTGAACGCCAGATTGTGGGTGTGGACTTAAAGTGATGGCCGGAGATCCTCGGAAGGTTGCTCTGATATCGGGAATCACAGGACAGGTAAGACTCCCCGGCATTCGCTCCGTACCACTCCTGGAGAAGGAGCCGGCGGACAGTGCTCTGCCTTGTTCGATCAATCAATCGATTGATTGTCGGACGCGACGAGCCGTGTGTGAGGATCCCATCAGGCCATGTTCTCTACTTTGTGAATCGATCGATCCGGGTCCCCGGAAGTCCTCCAGAACTTCACTTGATTTCAGGACGGATCTTATCTCGCGGAGTTCCTTTTAGAGAAAGGTTATGAAGTCCATGGTATTTTACGACGGTCCAGCTCTTTCAATACCGGTCGGGTGCAACACCTGTATGAAGATCCAAGAACTCATCGGCAGAATTGTGAGTTCGGAATTCCATAAAATGAGAGTAGCTGGCTCAGGTCAGACTCGAGATGTTTGGGCACAACGATATTTCCTTATTATTCTTTCCAGCGATGAAATTACACTACGGTGATCTTCTGGATAGCTTGAGTCTCATCAAATTGATACGTGAGACGCAACCCAACGAAGTTTACAATCTTGGCGCGCAATCACATGTCAAAGTGAGTTCAAAGCTGCCTAAGCATGGAATCGTCCGGACATATTCGTCGCGCTGATGGGTAGTGGAAAAAGGATGATCGATTCGAGATGCTTGGGAACCTAACATCGAAATTAAATCTTTCGCCCATCCCCGCATGCAAGGTGTCCTTTGATCTCTCTGAATACACTGCCGATGTCGACGCTCTAGGCACACTGAGACTCCTGGAAGCGATCAAAGTTTGTGGTCTCGATAAAAAAGTCAAATTCTACCAAGCTTCTACTAGTGAACTTTATGGTAAAGTGAAGGAGATACCCCAGAAGGAGAGCACCCCATTCCACCCGAGATCTCCTTACGGTGAGACTCATTCAACGAATTCATTCCGCTTAGTCTGATAGGTTTACTCGAGTTCGGTCCTTAAAACGAATCTGCTGCGTAGGTTGTGCGAAATTATATGCCTATTGGATCACCGTGAACTATCGTGAAGCATACGGCATGTTCGCGGTGAACGGCATCCTATTCAATCACGAGAGTCCCCGTAGAGGTGAGACTTTCGTCACCCGGAAAATCAGCCGATCCGTCGCGAAGATCCATCTCGGCCAGCTGGAATTCTTCGAACTTGGAAATTTGGATTCCCAACGAGACTGGGGCCACGCGAGGTGAGTTTTCCTTGTTGCAGATGTTCTGCATTTCCCGTTTCGAGTTAGTGTCCTTCTATGTGAATAATCCCTAACGCTCTCGCTTATACTGGGCTCCTGCAGAGATTACGTTGAAGCGATGTGGCTGATGATGCAGCGGGATACGCCCGAAGATTTCGTTGTGGCCACAGGAGAGACTCATTCGGTTCGTGAATTCGTGGAGAAATCTTTCGCTCGTATAGGGAGAAATATAGAGTGGAGAGGTGAAGGAGTCGATGAAGTCGGAGTCGAGAAAGAGAGTGGAATCGTTCGAATCAAAGTCAACCCGAGGTACTTCCGTCCGGCAGAAGTGGTGAGCAACCTCAACAATTAAAGGGCCGCACCCTCTCCGAGTCCTCGCATCGCTAATTATCGCAGTCACTATCTAAGATGATGATTCATACCTTCAGGATTTATTGCTCGGAGATCCATCAAAAGCTCGGACGGAGCTCGGATGGTCTATCAAGGTGTCATTCGACGAGTTAGTTAATGAGATGGTCGATGCAGACATTCTTCTGATGAAGAGCAACCCGTCCGCGTAGTTCGCAGCGGCTGCAGCAAGATGTGCCTTCCTACGGAGATGAGCGAGCCCGCCACATGCAGCTCACTCCGGTTTGAAGCGATGCTTCGTCTATATACTCGGTGTCTGCTGGATATCTCCGCGATTTCCCGCGAAAGCCGCCTCTGAACACAAGAGAACATTCCTGAAGGGAAAGGAGCGCGACCTTCTTCATGACTCCTCCAAATCCTTGGGCACTGCAACGACCAACCCTACCGCCAACAATGAGGGGCCAGCTCCACTCCCATTTTTTCAACGTGACCCGATCAACGAAACGGTTCCCGTTCGAGGTCTTTCCTCGCATGCTATAAATAAGAATAAACGTTGAATACCAGATGATGAGCTTGAAATTCAGGAGCCGGGATTAAAAAAATAATTTATTCCCCTGTTTATATACATGCACGCTCTCCCTGGGGTTCTCGTAGACCTCCACGGAACACGAGTCATTCTGCTCCGATTGCGTTGCCCTCCTTAGTTCGATTAGGCTTTATCACATAATGGTAATTTACCATAACTTTTGACAAGAAGTCGATCTGCGGGTTGGAGGTCTGAGAGAAACAGCGCGAGTTAGTCAGCGCTGCATTTCGAGGATAGAGTTTCTGATGAGTTCAGTCCTCCGACGGATCAATACTCACGCGGAAGTTATCAACTGAGATTTTCCTATCGCAATTCGCCCCGTAGACAACAATGTTGTCAGGGAGAACTTCCTCCGTCGACACATTACATCGAGCACCCACAGTGCAGCCCGAACCAACCGAGACCAAGGGCCCGACTCTCGAGAGGCATTCGAAAGTGTTGTGATGTCCGATTGCATTTGCTTCCACCACTGGTCAGATCCAAAAGAAGGATTGGCGTCAAGAACGTTCATATCTTTGACGTGTTCAGACCTCAAGACGTATCATCAGCCGGAAGACTCGACTCAATGCGTCATTCAGGATCCGCAATGTACTCACCGCATCCGACTTCGAATGTGTTGTGATTGCCGATTACGAGAGGCTCCTCGCGCCTAGAAAAGGAATTCGAGATTTTTAAACCGTATGAGCAACGATCGAAGTCGAGTCAGTGGGCACATCGATTCTCCGATGAAATAAAGTATCGTTCGATGGCATTCCAAGGAAGCCCGAGCTCACCGGTTGATGATTTTTGCTTTCTCTTCCACGATATTTCCTTCGCCGATGATTATGGGACCTTTCTCGGCAAGAATTTGAGCCGTGGGATGAATCACCGTGCGCGTCCCTGGATCCGGAGAGTTACATGTCAACTTATTCGCCTTCAAATAAGTTGCAGAATGAAATACAGTCACACGGACACAAAAGCCTCCGATACCAACCTATGGTGACTTCACCCTGGATGACACAGTCCCTAACGACAGTGCTGCCTTGTGCCACGAGCACCTTGGGGTTCCTGGAAAGTGACTCTCGGTCAGGCCATCCATAGCGTTTTCGTCATGAAAGCAGTGCGAATGCTACTTCGAATTCGATTTTCAGCTCCCCGACGAGAATCGCGGGACTCAGGCTAGTTAGAAATCGTGCAGGATCTTCGAAAATGGCATGTCTATCCGGATGCCATGCTTAGACGTGCTGATTTCTAGAAATTTTGTTCCTCACGTTTCTTGTTTACTGTCACCCATCGTTCGTGTAATTGAAGCCCGGAGTGATTTTCGCCGACCGGCTGACGGCTGGAGAGCTTCCCATCATGAGAGCCGGACACAGCCAAGCGGAAAAGGGCTGCTCTAGGATCCGACGGATTTCCCCCGATACCCAACGCTGCCGGAAATCGACACCTCGGCATGCGCGGCTCGACTCAGGCCAGACTCCCCTCGGGTCGCTTCCGATCACATATGAGTAATTGGACCTCGAAATTCCATTCGTTCCTGTCGGCTCTTCGAGAACGAAGCACATCATAGAAGGACTAGACACTAGACTAGAGCGAGGAATGTACGTCTCGTCGCGGCGAATTAAACTTTTTGAGAAAGAGCACTTTCGCGGCTAAGCGGTTGCTTCTAGTCGCGAGAATCCGCGGAGATTCTCATGGGGGATCTCAGCCCCGCCTGAAATCCTCTCTCAGTCTCGGAACCCCTCGAATTTCGAATTAGAGCAAGGCTTCTATGCGGGATTCCAGGACTGAGCAGAGGCGAGTGCAGAGAGAGGGTGGGTGAGAGAGTATTGTTTTTGTTGCTATTCTCAAAAAAGAAGGAACTCCGTGCGAGGAGAGTCTCCCCCGTAAACATTGAACGAAGGCACGCGCCCGTGGCTCTGAGAAGTACCTCCGCTCCCGATCGTGCTACTCTCTGCCCTCTCGGAGGCAGCTGTAGGCGATAAAAGCAGAGGGAGGGTTCCGGCTCCGAGAGACGACTTCTAGCTGTGTTCGTGAACGGGAGTCATTCGGTCAAGTGCCACCATTCGGAGCGACCACGACCCGGGTGTCATCAGAAAGACAGAACGTCAGGCATCCCCCGCTGCGCCTCGGATAATCCTTTTCATGAATGGCGATGTCTCTACAGGATCTCACCGGCGTCTTGGTGCAGGCTCTGTGTCAGGACCAGGTCAACGTGAAGGAAGCCGAAGCGAAATTGTCTAGCTTCGAGGTGCAGCCGGGCTATCATCAGGCGTTGGCGACAGTATTCCGAAATGCAGAAATTCCGGAGCAAGTTCGGTGGATGGCATTGGTGTGTCTCAAGAATGGCGTTAACAGATACTGGCGGAAAAACGCGCCCGGTGCAATAGCGGATACCGAGAAAGCCGTGATTCGAGATATGCTCCTTCAGTCGTTGACGACTACCCTCGGACAGCAGTTGGCGCTGCAGTTGGCCCTTGTGATAGCGAAGGTGTCGAGATACGATTTCCCTGGTGATTGGCAAGCCGTCGTGCCGCACCTCATGAACCATCTTGACTCACCGTACGGCTACCAATGTTCTCTGGCTCTCTACCATTTTATCAAGAGTCTAACAACCAAGCGAATCCTCAGTGATCGGTACGTGTTCTACGATGTTTCCTCCAGGATGTTCTACCCCATCGTCGCATGTTGGAGGGCCACAACGCAAGCGTTCCTCGCCGAAAACGTCGACGTCGACTTGCTCCAGAGATCCTTGCTCTCACTGAAGAGCATCAAGTTGTTACTGGTGCACGGACAGAAGAAAGGAGTCGAAGAGAAACTGGCAGCCTGTTTCGAAGACATGTTCAACTGGCTGCTCACCATGCTGAAGTGCAGAGCCTTCTGTGGGGAGCGGGAGCCGTACGCGACGCTGCTCACGAAGTGGTGCCTCCAATGCTCGAAAGTCTTCCTAGAGGTCCAGTACCAGCACACATCCGCATACATACCGTACGTTAAGGGCTCATTTTCACTTGCGGTCCAGTTCGCGTTCAATCAAGAGTGGCGTGGAGTCATGTTCGAGAGGTGCCTAGTCAACACATTCAATCTCCTCAAGTCGTGCATCACCGAGCCAGCCTACAGAGGAGAGCAAGCCGAACAAGCGGCAAGGGAAACGGGTGTCTACGAAGGTCGAGACCTCCCGGATCAAGTGTCAGGAACAGACCTTGTCCTGGAATTTTTCACCGATAGCATGGTGGCCGAGTTCTTGCAGAGATTGATCCTCGATTTCTTCCCGGTGTCCCAAGCGGAACTCGATGAGTGGCAAGCTAACCCCGAGGAATTCGCCGCCGAACAAGGCGGGGATCTCTGGAGATACTCGATCAAGCCATGCACTGAGAGTTTATTCGTAACGTTGCTCAGAATATTCCGTGAGGTCGCCGAACGAGAAGTTGTGAGCCTGGTCAGCCAGATCCAGCCGTTACAAGTCGAACCCACGTTCGCAGAAGCTCAACGTCGCCAAGCGACCTACACCGCGGTGGGTCTTGCTCCGTACATGCTGTACGATCATCTGGACTTCGATAAGTGGTTCCTAGAGTTTCTCATTCCGGAACTCAGAGTCAACCACAAGAACTATCTCATCGTGCACCGGACTATTCTCTGGATGCTCTCTCAATGGTCAGACATCAAACTCTCGGAAAGACACCGTCCACTGCTGTACGAGACACTGGCGGCGTTCGTGGAGCCCGACAAGGATCTTGTCGTTCGGCTGGCCGCGTGTCAAGCAACGAAGGACGTCGTGGACGACTTCGTGTTCATTGCGGACCAATTCGCCCCCTATCTAGACTTCTACATGAAGGCGATATTCCAGCTTCTCACCGACCTCCAGGATTGTCAGGGTAAAATGGTTGTCCTCCAAACGACGACTTTCATCGTGGAACGGATGGGCAAACGATGTGATCCTTTCGCGGAGAGAATCGTTGCGTTCGTACCGCTGCTCTGGACTGAGTCCAGTGAGCACATCATGCTACGCGTCGCAATCATCAGCCTCCTAACACGAATCATCGACAACATGCAAGCAGTCGACGCGAGTCTTTTCCCGACAACGTTGAGCATTATCGCGCACAGCGTCAATCCAGATGAGCCCCAGCAGGTTTTCCTGCTCGAGGAAGCGCTCGATCTCTGGCGAGCCGTGCTGGAAGCGGTCCGAGAGGGGGACCCGGAGACGAATTTCTGTCTCCTGGAACTGACCCGCTTCATCCTGCCGATTGTCGAGATGGGCAGCGATCACCTCGAGGCCATCACAGGAATTCTGAAACTCCACATCGTCCTTTTCAAAATGGACTTCTTGCAGCGCTATCCGGAGCAGCTCCGCGACGTCCTGTGTAGCTCCTTCGTCGAACTCAACATCACTGGTTGCATGTTGATTCTCAAAGTTGTGGATATGGCTATCCGGGTAGCACCTGTCGAGTCCGTGAAATTGTTCTATCCATTGATTGGATACGCCCTGGAGGAAATCGTGGAAGAGTCGCACACGCGTGAATATACGAACGTCTCATTTTCGATCTGGTGCAGGGTGCTGCTGTACGCCGAGGTGGCGGCGATGGACTTGTTGCGGGACAGGGCGGCGGCTAAACAGTCGACTCCCGAGGCTCAGATGCGACTCGTCATGGATTGTTGGATGAAGAAAATGGGAAATATCAGCGTGGTGCAAACGCAGAAACTGATGGCCATCACGCTGCTGAGACTGCTGGTCGACTATTGGAACTGGAGCGACATCATGTACAAAAATGTCTGCGCGATCGCTCTCGCTGTTTGTGAACTCCTCAACGACATAACCGAAGTGGCCGAGGACGGAACTCAGACCGATTCGCTGCTCATCCCGGCTGATAGTCCGGAGTCTGTAAACGCCGAGGTCGAACTAGACCAATCTTGCCACAGCGCACGCATGTTCCAGATTATCAAGAAAGACGTCGCGCACACTATCGTACTCTCGGACTTCCTGCTTCATCAGATGCGGGCGCTGGCGGAGAAAGTTGGCCCTCAGAAGTTTGAGGAAGTCCTCCAAGAGATCGATTGTGAAACGCGGGACATGCTCGAGAGCTACACTAAGACGGGAATGTTTGCCAGAAATAAATATACTTGTTAACATATGCTGAGACGAACACATTGCAGCCACGCAAAAGGGCGTCGAGTGATGATTTGAATAAAATCGCACCGAGATGACAAATTTCTTAATGAGATGTAGTTTTCTATGCTCAGGGGCTTCGGAGGCGTCTAGCCCACCGCTTGAATTCTTTTCTACAGAACGAGACCGCTTCTGCTCGCAAATGAGCCGATACCCTCCCTCTTCTCGAGCAGCACCCCGGAACACCTTTTTTGGGGTCCGGTGAGCCCACCGTGGGGGTTTTCGAAGCTTCGCGCGAGGTTCAAGACATCGCACACCACTAGGGGTCACGGATGGGTCTCTATCGCACTGTAGCTCGAATGAAAAGACGAGTCTCTTAAAAGCGGAATTCTTGTCTCCACGGCTAAAATATGTAAGATGCTCTCGATCGAATCGAGGACGGGGTCCAGTTATCTCGCACATGTCGTATTTCGAATTCATTCCGGATCGGACGATTCCTCCGGCAACCCACTATTCTCCTCGACTTCCAACATAGGCATAATCGTCATCACTGTTCCATGGGGGAACAGTGTCAAGGTTCAGACTTGGAACAGCGTCCACTCGCGGAGCGCATTTCTATCAGCTCGCCCTCATTGGCTGCCTCGCATCATGAAAGGAGGAATGAAAGGAGGTGGCATACACATCGTCGCGGGGTTGAAAAAATTCGCGAAAGGTCCGTACATCATATCAGACGAGACGGGAACGCAGTGGCAAGAGCACATCTGAGGGCCACATTGCGGATAATTTGGATAATATCGTATCGGGAAAGCTTTCTCCCCGACGTCAAGATTGACACTTCTGCTACGTCGACGTGATCCTCGATCGCACATGTCTCTCTGCCGAGCAAAGCGCTCGTGTTGAGGCGACAATTCCTCGAAACCTGCCCCATTCGCAACATTGCCCTCTAGACCAGCCAGGGCGGCATTTTCCGCCTCGCGACCCTGACTCTTGGTTCGTGGCCGGCGTACGCGACGTTCGATTACTTGGGTAATTTCCCCCTCAGGTCTAGCGTGGACTTGCTGCGCCGCTATCCAGTCCGACCAGCGGATCGCCAAGCTGACGTAGTCCCCGCATCTCAGAGGCGTGTCGAGCTTCAGATTCCTTAGACTTTCCTCGCTGATGACGATCGGATCCAGCGTCAGATCGAGGGAAACGATCGTCCTGCTGGACGGATCCTTGGCAGTAGGAACCCGGATCACCGATCCGAAGTAGTGAGCGCATTCTTCAGGCTTGATCTGCAAGATACGAGATGCCAAACCCCAATACTCTTCCGCTCTACCAGCGACGAGTCTCTCGTTCACATCCGCCGTTCCTTCGTTTCTGGAACTCATGCCGTAGCATAGAATCAGACTCACCTCGTCGGCCGTGAAGCCATTTCGACTGTCGCCCTTGATCTTGAATCGCAAAATCATTCCTGGCTCTAGCAGGCGTTGCTCAGCCTTCGGCACGAGGACATGATCGAGTGTGAACTCAACTTCCAAGCCGCGTATGTGGACTGGCGTCAACACGCCAAGTTTGCCCACGGGTATCTTCTTGAGCGCCGACACTTGCTTGATCAGACCACACGCCTCGATAGGAGCCATTTCGACCTGTGGGTCGACGATTTAATTGGAGCGTCTAGCAGTCTGAATGGCTCGAGTGTGATCGGCTACCCCACCGTGGAGGGAAAAATTGAGTATTCCGGGAGGAAATCTCGGAACTCACCGATGTCCTCGATTTTCGATACAAAAAACAATTCTTAGCGGAACAAGTGACCAGTTTGTGTTCGATGAGCTGGCACGTCTCACGAGCTCACGTCAACGACTTCGATGTGCATGTGTTCCTCTGGGTCCTCCTGTCCGGCTTCCGGGACCCGGACTTGTGGCTAGAGGACCGTGCGGCTCTGTCGATATGTTGCCGCGATAATGTTCCTTAATTATTTAAATGTTCGAATGATTGGTCAACCAGGCCCGAGTCTAGCCGTCACATCGTGCCCGAGCGCAATCGGAGCCTGTTGGAATCCATGGTGCTCCCCATGAGATTTTTCCGCAACCAACGGTCAACTGCAGAATGTTCCAACTTCTGTCTTTCACTAAAAGCCTCGGAGCTCATATGAAGTTCCCCACCGCCTGCAGCTTTCCCCGATCAAAATGCCGGGAATCTTCTTTTCGATCCGGACCCCTCACAATCACCCGCTACGGAACCGGTGCGGAAACCCCTGATGCGTCCAGTCTTCAAGGAGTGGACAAAGCGACCGCAAGAAGCGCCCGCGAGGCTTGAGAATGCGTTCATCCGTGGAGCCTCACTGGACACACATACATACACAACTACTAGGCTGCTGCAGCAGGCTGAGCTTTCGACTGTGTCTGAACGTAGTGTGCTCGTGAGCAGCGCTCACCGTGTTTCATACGGAAGGTGTCAATTGGAAGGGGAATTCTTCCAGAATTAGAGTGCGTGGGCTACACTCGACTCACAAAGCTTTCAAGCTAAGAATCGGTGAGTTGATCGATCGTCCCACTACCGAGTTTCTTTCGAATTTGTTGCTATGGCATCGAGGGTCTGCATCGCATCAGGTTGCGGCTCTGCGATTCTCATGACCCACGGAGGTAGCTGCCGATCTGTCATTAGGTAGAGCTTAGACCTTCAAAGGCAGCAGCGCCGCAGGATCCTTTGATCAGGCAGAAACGGATTCGGTTCCACGGCGGCTGTCAACGGGTGACGTCTAGAAGCTTCCGGTAAAATCGGCACTGGGGTCAGCAAGCAAGGCTCAGATGCTCGAATTCGATGCCGAGTTTTCCGTGGGGGGTTGCGGTCTGGTTCGAAAGTTCGGATCGGAGTCTCGCCTGGAGCGGTGACTTAAGAGAGATGTATTGCCCGAACGCGAAAGTCGAGGATGAGTCATACAGGTACGGAGTGCAGCACGCTGTCATCTACTCGGTACCGCTGTCTGTCTCACAACTAGTTGCGCGACGTCTATCTCCGAGTTTTGAGGATCAAACAATGGATGCTTGTCCATGGAATGGCTTGGTAACCCATTTCTGATAGGGAGTGGAGCTGGGAACGCTCCTAAGGCGTGGAATCGTTCAAAGATGCAACTGGAAAATTGCATGATCTCATGAGATACACATGAACTGTGTAGACAGCAGATGGTCAGCCAGTGACTTCGTCTTTGCCGCACAGCCCGCATTTTCGATGCAATATTCATTTGTCGCTGGAACGACTCTTTTTTCAGTCTTCCGAAAATGGATAATCGCACGACTGGGAAGGGGCTATGGAATGAGGATTTGAGCGATTACGTAAAATCACGGGAGCCGCGCGGTCAGGGGGCTGCGTAAAATCTCAACCAGGCAATAACCAGGCTGAAATATTCGTTTCACCCAGTTTATAAACAATGTGCCGATCGCGGAGCTGACCGACGAGCTTGTAGCGCATTACACGACGGGAGACGGATCTATCGACAGATTCTACTGATTATGAAGTTTGTTCCAAGTGGAAGGAGCTGTCCGTTGGACGACGTTGCTCTGTGGCAGCTCGATGGATCGCGGCTGAATTTTCCTCCTGAATAAATTTCTCTTCGTACCAGTTCAATCCCGTCCCGGGAAAAATGGGGGACGGATTGAGCTCGAAGAACACGGGACCGAGAATTCACATGAGTGATTTCCGGGCTAATTCGTACATGAGATCTCGATCCAGCGTGAGGAACATTTGAGACGGCTTATGCTCCTCAGCCTAATCGACCCTTCGCTCGTGGATAGCTCGCAGAATTCGATCCATGACTTTTCCGTTCCTTGCTGGGGAAAATCAACGGGCGGGTGCGGGATGCCCGACACTTTTCATGAAAACATGAGTCATCATACTGGTTGTCGACACGTCACGCGGAAAGCAATGCGTCGAGACCTGACACTCGAGATATCCGGAGGATCGCTGCACTGTATGATTAGCTCCCGCGCATCACTCATTCAGATGTTGGATGACTCGCAGTCACCAATCACAAGATGCGCTGTCCCGGAGAGGCCATCCATGATTAAAGTAACCGGCCGGATACCACGACATTCTACCCGAGCGGTTTCACATTTCAACCGATTGGTTCGCCCCGTAGGAAAAGCTGAGCTGCTCGTACGGCTTTGATGTTCCGGAGTTCTGCGATCGCCGCTTCCCAGTATCCGATTCGATCGCAACAGAGGAAGTGATGCCGATTGGACGGCGCGGCGTTTGCTCGAAACCCTGGTAGAACTCGAGAAACGCAGATTTCCACGTTGTTGTCGTAATTTCCAACACTACTTGACATTCCGCCCTAATTAATGTGCTCTTCCGATTCCAGATCATGTACGATCCCAATAAGGCATACCCTGCACAGCCTGGGTTCGCACCCCAGTCCGGATACGTGCCCCAACCAGGCTATCCCCCACAGGGCGGATACGCGCCTCAACCCGGATATCCCCCTCAGGAAGGATACGGAGGGCAGCCCGGATTCGCGCCTCAGCCCGGTTATGAGCAGCCCCCTGCTTATGGTAAGCATACCTGAGAATGAGCTTATCGGATGTCGAGTTGTCATGTTCCACCGCTTCTTCGGACGGGCTCAAGTCCGGGCGTTATATGATACGGACACGTTCCTTCTTCTTTTATTCAGGTGCCGATGGAGGCATGGCTGGATCCGGTTTCTCGTCAAAGGAAATTCGACAGGTTTTCGTACGCAAAGTTTACACACTTCTTTCGATTCAACTGTTGGTAACAACAGCGTTCATAGTGTTCTTCAGCACCAACCAAGGAACGACCAGATGGGTTCGCGAGAACCCGGGCGTCATCCTCGCCGGATAGTGAGTACCCGGATTCCTTCAACTGAACATTGGAAATTCCAAGCATCATACATCGTTCTCCCGCCTGGCCTCGCTGGCGTTGTTTTCCCGCGTCGTGAATTGAGGAAATAATTTTCACGAGGAATTTCTTCTTTGCAGCCTCGTTTTCATCATCACGTACTTCTCTCTTGTTTGCTGCGAAGGAGTCCGACGTAATCATCCGGGCAACTTGATCCTTCTTTCCGTTTTCACGCTTGCGATGTCTTTCATGACCGGCGTGATTACGACTGCGTACAAAATCGACTCGGTGATGCTGGCGCTCGGTATATGCGCCATCTGCTGCATCGGCGTCACCCTATTCTCTTTCAACACGAAGTACGACTTCACGTCCTGTGCTGGCGTGCTCTTCGTCCTGCTCATCGCTCTCATCGTGTTCGGCTTCGTGTTGATCTTCACGCACTCGCCGATCGCGCAGAAGATCTACGCCGGGCTTGGCGCCATGCTCTTCATGGCATTCCTTGCTTTTGACACGCAAATGATCATGGGCGGCAAGAAAGTCGAGCTTTCTCCTGAGGAGCATGTATTCGCCACGATCATGCTCTACATGGACATCGTTCAGATTTTCCTTTTCCTCCTTCAGCTCTTCGGTGAGAGAAAATGAGGAGACTCGTAGTCAGAAAGACAGATCCGAATGCACTCATTCGGACACACGTCCATCGGCCTTGCCAAGGTTGGCGTAGGACTATGGGAGAAACCCTGTACCATGTTAGCATAAGAGGATCTGTAGTCGATTTCTGACTAGCCGAGAGTGGAACAGAAAAGAAATACCGTCACTAAGGGTCGGAGCAGGATTTGGAGATAATGTTTGAAACCACACCACGAGGAACATACCCCGAACCGTGCGTCCTTGATGTCCGCGTGCGGATTCAGACGTTGCAACTTTTGAATAACAAGTTTGTTCTGCTTCCCACATTGCTGAGCAGTATTGTTGTTGATCCAGCTGCATATTGTCTGCGCTTGTCTTGCAACCACTCTAATATCCCAACATCTCTTCGTCTCTACGTAGGGTGTTCCGTAGAAAGAGTCTGTCCTCAAATCCTTTTTAAAATATACAGATACGCAAGTCAATCTCCTTGAATACTGTAAATTCAATCCAAACCTTTACACTTCGGGAAAGCCCGCGCGAACTCTCTGGTAGTCTTGTACGAATAAAGCTGAGCCACTCTCCAGGACAACTCCTGCGCAAGGTGTGCTTCCGATCTGGTTCGCGACGGGCGGTCCTAGCGGGGCAATTCAATCATGGGAGCGCAGTCCAAAGACCGTAAGATTAGCCGGTAGGATATATTTACCCGAGGTGACGAGGAACGAACAAGAAGTTCTGTTTTGTTAACCGAACATTTAAACATGTTTCAAACAACCGCAATCTCTCCTTCGAACAGCTAATCCAAATTTTCTTATCATCGTCGATATATGGATATATTGACACATGAATATATAGCTGTGGAAACCGATTCGGTTTGATGTGTATCATATCAAAAAATAAAGATTGCTTATCGAGCATCCGATAAACTTACATTAGTCCTACTAGGGTCCTTTTTTCTGAGCTGATTCCAGCAGCAGGAGAAGGGGGGTTCAGATCAGGGGGATCGCAGAGCTCTCCTGGCTTCCTTACGTGTGAACCTTTTTGTCATGGGGGATCCTGTATCCTACTTCCGATTCCGATTTGCTTCAATCTTTGGTTAACGTGACGAACATAAGAATCTCCTTCAAGATCGGGCTTCTTGGAACCTCAGTCCTAATAATCATTCTCAATCACGATGGAGTGGACGCGAAAAAAATCAAAAATCATCACCGCGCCTCTTTCTTCGAACATTTTCCCGACTCTGGAATTATCATCCGCGGTCATGGAGCCATATAACTCTCATGGAGAACTTCCCCAGCGTACTTGAGGCTCATATAGACGAATGAGCTGGCCTGACGCGTTACCCACTGATTTCTCTTTTTTGAGAAAAGGTCCCTTTTGTTTCATTCGACTCATGTCACACTTGATCGCCAGTCTCTACCCCCAATCCGTTTGGCTTCTACTCTAAGTAGAAGAGCTCATCGAAGCCTCGACCCCCGTGGATAGCGTTGGGAATTCATGAGTTTCGGCGTTGGACTTCTGATGAAACTTTCTGTCTCATGAACGTCGACTTCGCTGAGCGAGCTCCTTCGGTGAGTGAACTAAGACAGTCGCCGATCCCTTCCGTAAGGAAAGGGGCTTCTCCGCTCTTCACGTCCGAGGTCTCGATGATGAGGGGCTCCACAACATATTTTGCCGCAATCGGGGCGTAGTGCAGTAGTTTATGTCTCACGGCTCTCGCTGCCTTTGCACTGAAAATTCTCGCGAGAGCTGTGTAGCTGGCTGCGGAGGTTCTCGGCATGGAGACGTCGCAGCCCAACATTCTGCCTCTTGACCAAGGAATCGGAGTCATACCATCTGGGCGAATCTGGTCTAGTGCGTTCGGATGATGGGATTCGATTTGGACAGAGATTCCGATCTGGTGAATCGCTCTAACCGCGTCGTCATTCACGTTCCACCTTCAGGGTGGGTGGGCGCACCATAGATGCCGGTGAACCACAGGAATAGGTCCAGACTCCAGACCGAGTCTCAGAACGCAAGAGGGTCTGCATGCACTGCCCAGAAGCAGGCTACCTAGGTCTTCGTCGGGTCTCGTTTGTGGGAGCCTCTCTGGGTTCTAGAGGAGAGGAAAAGATTGAGCAGATCGAGCTCGGAAACGACTTAGGCCTGGAGAAATCATCCCCCTGAGCTCATTTTCTGTGAAAAACCTCAGCGACCTCCACGAGATCATTCGGGAGGGAACCACGCATATCGGAAGCACTGTTAGAGAGGTTGATCGGATCTTGCGTTGAAGAGAAGGCCCGACAGACTACAATAATGCCGGTTCCCCGGGCTCCCAAGTCGCAAGTGACCGAAAGTCTCGTCAAGGCGAATCATTCGTCAGGTTTCAAGAACACTGCGCATCGGAAGCAGTTTTCTCCCGGGAGGCGGGCGCCGAGTATTCGTGAGCAGAACGTATACAACCCTTTCCATGTCGGTAACGATCACCACCAGTCTCAAAAAACATGCGTCATTGGTCTCAATGGCGACAGGAAGCCAGGCATGATGGTCCTGAACTACTCCAACAGTCTCCATTCGGATTCGCCAGATGTATCGATGAAATCGTCCAAAGCAAGCGAAGACAGCGGATTCATTGCTCAGCCTTTCGGCGGAAAATAGCGGGGCTCTCAAGAATCATTATTCTCAAATTCATCAATCTATCATTATCTTTCTTGAGCTTGATAGTCTTCGACCCGCCCATTACGCCGCGGAGACGAAATTACGGATCTGCGAGACAAGCGCCTCCGACGTATCGAGCAGAGAGAAATAGAGTCCGACATTCTCTTCGCGCTTCGAAGACTCGTACCTTACTCGAGTCCAGTGAAGAAATTGGGAGGTTTCTAAAGAGAAATCCCAATCGAGGGCCCGCGGGTTCCTCGCGGAACAGCACAGGAGTATCGATACCTGAGCTCGGAATTTCTCTCTGAATATGGACAGCTCTCCTGCAGTCACGACCGCAAGTCATGGGAGTCTCGAATTGCGAGGGACAACGAAAATTGTTCCCCGCGGGATCTGCAAGCAAGATTTCCCATGGGTATGTTGCTAGAAACTTCATTTTCCGCCATTCGATGACTCGAAACTCGCCTAAAGAAATTTCCGCGCACCTTCAGCAATGAACCTTCGAGTCTGAGTGGTGCGAATCGGGGCTGGCCACTCGGGCTCTTCCTTGTCCCTTAAGTTAGCGTATCCCTCTCGGAGCTGTACGGGGCTCTAGCACCCGTCCCTCCCCTCCTCGGAGGAAATCTCGAATACGCCCCCGCTTCCTTACCTGCTGATCTTAATCTGTGAGGTCAAAGACTTCCTTCCTAGCAGGGACATTGGAGAGCCCAGCGGGTACGGGGTTCGATTCGCTAGAAATCCGACGTCGCTTCGTGAGGAAAGTCTTCACGATCCTCTCCATTCAGCTCTCGGTGACGACTGCCTTCATCGCCTACTTCAGTTTGAGCGAAGCATCGATGCGATGGGTCAGACAGAACCCAACCGTCCTCCTGATTTCTAGGTGAGTTACGATTCGACTCGGGAAACGGAACGAGATATTCAGATCGATATAAGTGATTATTAATATCTATAAGATTGAGACATATAATTATAATCAGTCATCATTGCAGAAGTTCGCGACTCCGATCCCGTGGATGTGATCGAAGATTAGGGTCGCGAACTCCTGCTATGACAATGTACGACAACGTGTTGAGCGAATTAACTCTCACGGGGTTCCGAGATCGACTCAGTTAGAGTTATTCATGTTCCAGCGGCGTTTTCATTATCACGTATTTCATAGTCTACTGCAACGAAAAAGCTCAGCGGAACTTCCCGGGCAATTTCATACTCCTCATCGTGTTCACGCTCGCGATGTCTTTCACGGCTGGCGCGCTAGCGGCCTGGAATGGAACCGACTCGATACTGCTGGCGTTCGGACTCTGCGCTGTTTGCTGTATCGCGGTGACTGTCTTCCCTTTCGACACGCAATACGAGTTCACCTCAAACGCTAGCGTGTTTTACTTCCTGGCCATCGGAATCACCGTGTCCGCCTCCATCCTTCTACTCATGAGACCACCGACACCGCAAAAGATCTACGGCGCATTCTGGGCCTTGGCGTTTCTAGCGTACTTGAAGTATGATACGAAGCGAATTGTGGAGGGCGAGAGCGTGAAAATTTCTCCCGACGAGCTCACTCTCGCCGTTCTCAGACTCTACGTGGACGTGACCCTCGTGTTCCTCTTCGCCACTCAGATGCTCGGTCGCGGACACTGAGCACGCCGAGCTCATGGGACCGTCATAGGGACCCGCGAGGGTCAGCACGGTCGGAACGCCATCCTCTTGTCGCACCCGCGGCCGCAGTCGACCGACGCAGAATAAAGTCCCCGTTCGTCCTAATTCCTACAAGTCCGATTGATTGCGTTTGCTGCCTGTCAAGTATCGGATCGAGGGAGCTCAAGCTCCAAAGGACGGTGTTTCCGTTCCCGCTCTGCGTCGGAACTTCCGCGGGCGAGGTGAAAAAATCGAGAGATCATTATTCACGCGTCGTTCGTGAAACTTGAGAAACAACGAAAGAAGTACTCTTGCAAGGAATATCTCGATGTTCCCCGTCATGGGCAAGTTTTCCTTTTCCTTCATTGGTTCCTTGCGAGCGAGCCCCATGGTCCTTGCACGCAAGAGCCATCTCGAGAATTCCATGGGGTTCGACCCCAGTTCTCAATCGACATGCACCAATTGACTCCACAGGTGGATTCTCGTCGCAGGAGATTCGTCAGGGCTTCGTGCGCAAAGTGTTTTCGATACTCGCAGTTCAACTTGCGGTAACGGCAGCCATCGTCTTTTTCTTCTGCACTCCTTCAGTGCACGCGTTTCTTCAGCTCCACCCAGGCGTACTCGTCTTGACGAAGTGAGTTCGAGTTCTGACGAGCTCGTGTCCGTGTCGTCGCAAACCTCTGGGCCTATGAGGATCGGAGGTTTCGAGCCGGAAGATGGGAATGGGTGATAGGACTCAATCCTGCTCCGTTGAAGCACATATCTAGAGGCCGGAAACTAATCGGAGATATCTGTTTTACAGCATTCTCTTCGTCTTCTCTTACTTCAGTCTGTTCTGTTGCGCGGGACTCCGACGCAAGTACCCATGGAACTGGATTTTCCTAGGTGTTTTCACCCTGAGTTTGTCGTGCTCGGCGGGCGCCATGGCGAGCCTTTACAAACTCGACTCCGTGATGTGGACCATGGCAACCTGCGCCATCGTTTGTCTCTCTGCGGCGATTTTCGCTGCGAGGACGGATTACGATATCACTTCGTGTGGGGGCGTGCTATTCTTAGCGCTCTGGTCGTTAATCATCGTATCTCTGCTCGCTCTGGTCACCGGTAGCGCGATGGTTCAGAAACTCCACGTCGCCATGGGGACCGTGATATTCGTGGCGTATCTTGCAATGGATGTGCAGCAGATACTTGGCGGCAGGAAGGTGGAGATTGAGCCAGAAGAGTACATATACGCCGTCATCATTATCTACATGGACGTCATCAACCTTTTCATGTACCTGCTCCAAATCATGGGGGAACGAGATCATTAGGAAGTTCAAACGGTGCACGTTATCGCAAAACCCTAAGGCGGAGCGGTCTGCGATAGCACGGTGAAATTAACTTTGTATCCTAGGAACTAAACGTGCGTCTCTTGAATGGGTGCAGTTTGTTTTCGTCGGAGCCCTATTCTAGGGGAATAGGGCTATACAGAAGATACAGATATAGATACAGAAGAATGTTACGCAGCGATCCTCAATATATTCCCCCCCGAGGATGAAGTTCTGCAGAAGGAGGGAAAGCAGAAAATTATACAAGGAGAACGAAGAAACTCGGGATGTGAGAGGATCGGCCTTCGTCCACCATCCGCGGTCTCCTCGCGCGACCCTACCGCGTCGGATCGACCCGACGAATCTTTTGCGGCGGCACGTCATGTCGTACTGATGACTAGCTCCGCGCGTAGGAGGGAGCCTGTATACCGATGAAAATTATATTCATGCGAAAGAAGTCACCAACGTCACCGGGTCGTTTCATTTGGGAGGCAGAAACCCCGTTGACGACTTTAACGTAAGCCGCCTGCCACGCAATCTTTGCATTGGGACACCAACTTCGGCGGGGCGACCACCGTCTTCCTTAGCGAGAGAGGTACAGGTCCTGCACACCAGTGTCAGGAGTTGGAAGCACTTGCAATCTAGTTGTTCCGGAGTCTAACGGCAGCCGTCATGACGATTTGAACTCCGAGCGGAATAATTCGTGATCTCCAGCAAACTTAGACATCGCGTAGAAAAGTCGAATATCGAAAGAGATTCCTGCGAGCGAAACTTTCGCATGGCATCCGCGATTCTCTCGTGATTCGCGACGACGCGTATCTCGCGTTGACTATTTCAAGAATTTTCCGCTTAAATCAAACTTCGTGCGGGTTTGGTTTTCTGTACTGAGCGGACCGTAACTATCGCCCACGGATCCTCCCAATGGGTTTGATCAGAAAGTATGCGTTCCAGACAATCGAAAGCCATCCTTGAATGCAGTCGGCGCCGGGGAGGAAAACGAAGAAATCCTTTGATTTCCTTCATCATGATCTCAGCTCCCTGGGTGATCTGAATGATTGTGCGCACCTAGATTGAGAACTCATCAACTCGCTCGGTTTGTGAACTGTATCGCTTTTCCGCGATTTCGGAGCAGCTGCGCAGCGACGGCGTCGTCCGAAGCATAGTCCGAAAATGACCTTGAGTGTCCTTGAGCTCTAAACCCACATTTGACAGTCGCTTGCGATTAGCGATGATAGCGCGCCGAGTCGTGAATTCCTGCGCAGGATTTTCGATGAGATCCCGAGGAGTTCGATATCTGAATTGTCATCCCTGGCCACCGAAGGCCGCAGCAACAAAAGTGTCATCATGTACCAAATCGAGAAATTCACTGGGAGAAATTTCGGATCGACTCGAGTAGCGGTCGGATGGCTATTAGGTCCTTTGCAGATGTCCCTTGTGGATTTTTGTATGGAACGCGGACGGTCTCGGCGTAGGTTCCTGAAGATTTCGATGTCCTGCAAAGGTTGGTCGAGCTCCGCTCACGGAAATGTCATCATGTTCGAATGAATCTTAATCGCTCGGGGAGATGGGCTAATATTCGTCAGAAGTCCCGCTGTTCCCCCCGTTCGCGCCCGGCGAATGACGGTGAGTGTTATGTTGTGAATGGAGTCGAAGTTGGCAAGGGTGACCGCCGCTGATCCGCCGGCGGAAAGGAGCGCTGCGTCTTCTCTCTCGGATCCGAGCGGAGCCCTTTGTAGTCTAGCAAAGTTGCAAACAGTTGCCCCATTGCATTCTCCCTGTCGAGAGGCGTCCTTTTGCCCGACGCACCGACCGAGAGGTGAGTGAGTTTGTGTGACATGATCGCGATACAATCCGCCCCCGTAAGCATTCCGCCGCGAGCGACGAGTGGAGGGTGGATGCCATTTTCGGTCGTTCGTCAGTCTTCTGCAGTCGGGCCAGCGAACAATCGCTCGCCCGCCTAATCGATCGACCAATCGAGTGCGTCGTCCCGTCGATAGTGTAACCAAGCGGTCGGAGAAGTGTTTTAAAACTCCGTATAATTCGCTCTGCAACTTCAACGCAGACGAACGGAACCGAACGTTGGATAGGATTACGGCTAGGAAATGGTAATGTACAGCAATCTTTCGAAACATTCCATACCGGGGAGAGCTTCAGCCCTGTGGCCGACCGGGTCGCGGTCCGGCAATGAGTGGACGAACCGAGGGCTGGGAGAACCTCCGGCTGGGACCTCGCGAGGAAATGTCCGAACCCGTCGTGATCTATTCTGGTAGTCGAGTCGAGCAGCCAGAAGATCCCCGTGGTCTGATGGGATTGACGAATCGGCGTGAAAGGGAAGTCAGTCAAGCAATCGTTTGTTTGCGACTCAATCATCTTGATGGCTGGCTGAACGAGCTGGAGTGGCATTTCGTCTGTATCCATTTAAGGAAACAGAACCGACTGTTACAGAAGCGACTTCGCGCTCTGTAGCGGTAGCACTGACAGTCGCACCGTCGGTGACTGACGGCGCGGCAGCGGCTACCGCATCGATGGGTACCACAAAACATACTTGTTATGACAACAACAAAATCAGCCACGGCAGCGAGACAGCGAAAGAACTCATAGCGTCAACATGGATGAACCGTCTGACTGACAGACGGACGGACGGGCAGCCGGAAGGACGCATGCCGCCGGAGGAAGAGACCATAAGTCAGTACGTTTATGCAGGGCAGGAGACAGTTCGCTCTGTACCAAGGTCATCGTCGTCGAAATTGTGCTGGTAGTCGTAGTCATCGCCGTCACGTTGGTTGCCGTCACACAAACAAGAGGATCCGAGCTCAACCAGAAGTTCGGCGACGCACGATGAACTTCGTCGCAACTGGGCCGAGCGACGCGCGAAGCCTTGATTAAGATTCGACATGGTTGGCTCGAGCGATCAGTCGCATTGACGACAAAGGATTCCGAGCTGCATGTTGACGCTCGTTCTTCCTCGGACTTGTGCCTGACGATTCTTCTTCAATATAGTCGGCGTAGAACGGATGAATCCGCAGACTGTCTTGCGCGGTGGACGGAAGCTCTCGCGAGATTCTGACGGAATTTCATTGATGCGATTGTGGTATCGGGATCTTCATCTCTGCTACATTCAGTGGCGGATTCACCCAGTAGGCTAAAGACTTAGGCGGCAGTTGTCGGGGGGCGAAATCCTGGTTGGAGCTTCTGTGATCCACGACAGCTCACTCAGTGAAATCATGATTCGGCGAGACGGCGATTCTTGGATAGCCGAACAACTATTTCAAAAAGGAAGTCTCCTCCTTCCTTCTCCTCTTCTGGGATCGACTGAATGATCGGGGACAATTTCCTAGTCTACGCATCCTCAGGCTTTTTGTGGAATAGAAAATAGAAGACGAATCCTAAAAACTTGGTGCAAGCGCCGGGGAGAATCGGGATGGGTTTCCCAGATGGGTTGTATAAGGACGGCGGTCCTGGGGGCGTCATATTCGTGGATCCGCCGCTGGCTATATTCGACAACGTGGTCTCCAGCCGCAGTTGGTGCTGCGCATTGTGGATCGACCTTCAGTATTTTACCCCGTTTTCTCATGTACATTTTTTTTTCATTTCAACAAGTGTCAGGATCATGTTGGCTATTGAAAGCTCATACTGAGGCGCAGCTGTCCCATTGTTCGCATCTGTTTTGCGTGGGAGTTCGGAGTACTTGAACGTGTTGCTGCTGTCGCCGCTGAATCGAACAGAATCGAACACCAATTAATCGAGGGATACTGGACGGTTCACGATCCATCGGAAGAACCAAGAAACAAGCGAGCGCGGCGACGGAGAAACACACTCACACTCATATCCGGGCCGCCCACAGACTTTACGTAACCGAAATAAAGACGAATGTTCGGAACACGTCTCGTAGCTTCCCTGGCACCCATTATTTGAGGATGACGACGAGACGGACTTGAGCGTTTCGCGGATTATTTGCTCGATAACTAGCCTTGGATCATAATCCTCCAGTGAGACTCGCCCAAGGGAAAAATTTCCGAGAAAGCGTTTCGGCCGGACGACCCGAACTCCGTGGGGCTCTTGGGCGGCGACGATCATCTCTCGGCAGGCAGGAAGAGAGGAAGGGGACAGGACCGTTCAGCCAGGCCACGGAGGATCAGCAGCTCAGGAATCATGAGCCGACGCGGGCATAGCATCAGCGGGAATAACAGTGAACATCTCCTAATCTGCATTTTCGTGTTTTAGAAAGCAAGAATATTCGCCATCGGTCTGTTCGTGGCTTTGGCTTGCGTCGTCGCTGCGGCTTCGGAAGATCAGGAGAGAGTCCTGCGCGGAGAAAAAAAACTTCAATTTTGCGCCGCGGTGTGGTCATGCCTCAATTTCACGGTCAATTATTGCGATGATGAACATACGAGCCAGCCAGGCAATGAACCAGCCAGAGAAGAGTTTCTCTCGGAACCCTCACGATTGTCGGTGATATACCTCCCACGGTGGGATGACGTTAACATGAGCGCTCGGGATGCTGATCAAATATCCAACACCGGCGGAGTCCTGGGCTCGACCGCCGAATGTCTTTCTCGATCCTCAATTCACGGAAGGTCCGCCGATTCCCCTCCATCTACTCGCCCGGTCTTCCGCGGGAAATGTTCAGGAGCGCAATGTCTCTTGCTCGCCCGTTTCCGACATTGAATTTCTGACACGTTTTCATCAACTTTCGATGCTTGTGTGAGTCTCTTCCGACTCGAAAATCCGTCCCACGTATTCTGCTGTAGAGCACGACGTGTCGGCCCGTAATTATGATGATTATGATCAGTGACAACGGGCGGCGAACACCGATTCGGTGAGAGACGAATCAATTAATCAAAAAATTCACAAGCAATCCGGAAACCTTTTTTGGTCAAACGATGGCAATCGTCTTCGGGTATGAAAGACTCGAGCCATCGTTTATGTGAAGTTCCTTGGCGGATAGGGTGGAGGGAGAGAACTTGAAACTCCTCGAATCTTTTCGCCCCGATTCCGATTCGTTCCGAATTGGTTGAATTCGGATCGATCGATTGATTATTCGAATGACTGAGTGATGTCCGATTTTTTTTCTGAGGTCGTCCTTGATGTGCTGACGATCAATTGAATGTCGGAATGCACGCTCGAATGGAATTTCTTGACACGGATCAAGAACGAGATTGGTGGATTCAAAGCGGGATGAGAGAGGGGAATCTCATGGATCCGAAAATAGAGGAATAATATCGAAATACGTCTGGTCGCTTGTTCGCTTCTGGCGTCTTTTGCCGACGCTCGTGGAGTTGTCGGTCGCCGGGCTACCGAGGGCGTGGGTCGATCTCAAGCTCAACCACGGCCAACGGCCGGCCCGCTTGAGACCTTCGAGCAGTTTCTGTGGGAAGATCGCCTCGTGGAAGATACTTCCGAATTCTTCAACGACAGTTAGATCCTACACTCATTCACGTACTTCTGACCAAAACTTCGCCCCCTGATTCTTCAGTGGGGGAATGTCTTACTCACGTTTATCGTCGGTGAGGTTCCCGGAGAGGTTCAGGTTCAGCGAACGATACTGATGAAGCGGGATAATTCTGGAGAGCTCACGCTGGAAGCACTCCCAGGGAACGCGAGTCTACGCATACGCGATCGCTTTCGAATCCCTGATTTTCGGGCCGACGATGCCTCGAATTTTTCACGATGCATAGGACTCCTTACATAATGTTTCGCAAGCCATTGTATTAAGGGCCCCTCATGCCCGAAACGTTCCAGACTGGCATGGCGGTCGGCGCTTTACCATAACTAGTACGACGAACAACCTGAATATTATGAGCGTTGCTTTGAATTATTGCGGGGCAAAACGGTTCGGGTCACCACCGCGAGTGCCCCGCGGGGGCGGAGCGGGCGAAAGGCAAAACGTTTCAGGCGGTTGTTCTATCCACAAGCTTGGTGGACAGCAACCTCTTCAGCAGGAGAATGAAGTCGATAATGACAGCACAATCTATATAATTGCTTTTGTTATAAAAACTGATGGAATCGAGAATATATAGCTCTGGTGACATCACGGCTCCCCCTACCGGATGTTCCCAGAGGAAAGTTCCAATAATGCGACAGTCCGACAGAGAATAGCCAAAGTAGAGAAGACACTTCCACGAATCGAGGGCTTCTTTCCCAATACAGTTGGATTCGGCGTTGTCTCGTTCCCGATGAGTAGACGCGTATTCCGAGCGGAAGTCTATGCGTAAATCGCAGTGATACGACACCGAATTTGAATTTTTTTCTCCACCGGAATCTCATGCCGCCTTCGGACAGCTCTGTTCCAGCGGAACCCTGATTGGGAAGGGTCTGCTGGTATTGCGGAGATCTTGGGTAAGAATGTCCCCGATCGTTCTCAAGTTTGACCGTTTGAAGTGACATTCAAAAAATCCGCCGGCGTTCGATCTTTGCCTTGACTCGATTCCATGGAGTGCTCTTGCGCTTTGAAGAGATGGAATGTCCTCGGATCATGAAAAGTTCCGGCACATTCCGACCCTCGCTCATCCATGAAATTGTGGTCCGACGGATGACCGACACCGGGTCCTACAGAGAGAAGCATTGGGCGGTTGCGAAAATTAGTTTAAAGTCATCATGAAGCATCTTCCCTTTTCCGCAGTGTAATTTTCCTTTTGGAAGAACGCCTGCGATTGATGAGGAAAGTGCTCGTTACAACGAAAGCATTCCGTTTCGGGGAGTCAACTCATAGAGAATTCCGGGGATTGTGGGACGCTGGACCGCTGTTGTTTCACGCGTGTCGCTTGAATATTCAGCTCCACGAACGGCACACAGTCGCCGTCGAACGTACAAAATGCACACAGATATAAATGCACAGGCATTCTGAGACTCACGAAAATAACGAGAATCAGGTCGATCGGATGCAGAAAAACCTTCACGAGATCTTCAATTCGACTCGCTCAGCAGAATATTACATCGGAGCCGCTGTCAGAAATAAGAGAGCCTCTCCGAAACATGTCGACTCGCTGTCTCCGGCCATTTCTCGGGCCGCTCTCGTCCGAGGTCGGATCATGAATTCCTTAAGAGGGTTCTGGAGGCGTGCGGATGATCCGTTGCTTTTGAATTTATTGAGAAATCGATTTGCGCATGCAGTCGGCCTCATTTTTTTGACCAGGCGATGACCATGTCATAGGAGCCGCCAGGTGGAGGACGAGAATCGACCGGAGGCATCTGACTCATCAAATGAATTCAGACGGCACGAGACAAACGAGAGGAAAGGATCAGGCGCTCCGTGCTCAGATCCGCCCAAAAAACGATTTTGTAATTCTCCAAGGCGAGCGCAAAGTCCCGTGAATCAATCAATTCGAAACAATCGTTGAGAGTTTAAATAATTTTCCCTCTTGTTAGAGTCACGGGTGGCTCCTCTCCCAGGAGATATAGAACGATCCTGAATCATTCGTGAGAAGTTTGACGTACGCGACTGAGGCGTACGAAACGCATAACCGTGTTTCGAGCGCTTAGACACAGGGCAAGCCCGCGTTGTCGTGTCTCGCTTGGATACAGCGTTAGCCAAATTCAGCACCGCTCAAGGTCATTTTGGCGACTTCAGACGACGAAAGTATTAGAATCGTTCGTTTTCATTCGGATACGTCATCTCGGCAGCGAGGGACTCCCGAAGGAAGCGAAAACTCGACTTCACAGTGCGCTTGGGAGCTAAGCTGGTGATAGCTTGCAGGGAACAAGAGTAGGAGAAAAGTTGGCATAAACTTGCAGAACTCGGCACCGTTCAGTCCGGCCGCCTGCTCAGTCTGTTTCGTTCTCCCCTTTGCGTGGCTCAGCCACGGAAATCATGGGACGCGCCGTGGACGACTCGTTGCTCGCTCCGCTGAGACTTCAAAAAAAAACTGCTCCTCGAAACCGAGCTCTGATTGCAAGCCTCACTCGATCGACAATTGAAAGGGGGAAACCGAAACGCTCGGAAAGACTCCGGTATGGAGATCGGAGCTTTCAGTCTGGGAAACCTTTTCCGCTTCTTCGGTGCAGCTTGTTTGCTCGCCCATCAAATGGGAAGGGAGGAGCGTGAAAGCTATGAGCAGATGTCTATCATATCGTTGATGAATTGGAGCTTGCTGGATCTTCGAGCCGAGAAATTCGCGTTTTTGCCTTTTTCTTCAATCCCCGATCTCCGGTTTTTGAATTTATTGGTCAGTAACCATCTTGTCGCAGGAACCGTGATTACCTGAGCAGATCCCCGGTTCTGAGACAATCTCACAATTGAAATTCGATCGACCGGACCGGATACGTGTACCCGTCACGCAGATAGGAGTTATCGATATGGGGGAGCTCCCATCGGATTTTATCAGGCTTTCGCACAAGAAGTTCATACTTCAGCGAATATCAGCAGAAAAATGGAAGACCAGCACATGAGCGCCTGTACTTGGGGGAGCGGTCGAATCGATGGCGTGCCGGCGCTGATCTTCGGCTGAAGATCGACGAAGACCCGTGAGATTATATATATGGAATTCGAATACGTGCTGCGCGAGCAGGAGATTGTACTGATCTATCGAGCATTGTTCTCGTGCCCGTCCCTTCCGATGTTCGATATTCCGAATAAAAAAATGATGCTCCCTCTCACGCCATGTACTTTCAAGCGCATGCCACATCCGGAATCCGAAATCCTGAAAGGAGGGGAATTCCGACTTGAGCCACTACAGTGAGAGCCACCTGTCACCAGCGCGGCGACGCTTCATCTCCGATCGGATTAGGCTACTTTCCTCACCCTTCAAGTTCCCGAAAAATGGACGACCTCGCGGATACAAGTCTAATTTTCGGCCCCGTAAGAGAATAAATCGCAGAATCCAAGGATGACCGAATCGCAGAATCCGCGCTCGAGTGGATGCCGGTCATCAAAGTGACTGAGAGTTACTTGATTAGCGTGTTCCGTTAAGTTCGACCGTACGGTGAAGCGGCGGCTCCAAGGAATCCCACGTATGACGTCAAGGCCGGTTTGAGGGTGGCTCCCACTCCGTGTAGCAAGAAAATACGCAAGCGAACGAAGTCGAAGAATACAACTGAGCTTCTACCTCCGTATAGTGCGAAATTTCATTAGCATGTCATGTGAAAGCTCAATTATGAATGCGTCGACGCTTATTGACTGCAAAACTGTGGCACCCTGTTGACTAATCGTCCTGACCCAGACGATGCGATGGTCCGCCAAGGATTCGCTGCGGCCGTAAAACGAAGATGGATTCGGAAATAGCTCGCGAAAATTTTCACCGTTCGGTGACTAGCTGATGCCAATGCGCCGCTCGAGCCTAGTGGCACAAGGAGCGCGTTTCCCGCGAGACCATTGGTCTCTCTGAAGCGGAGAAGAACCATGCGAAATGTCTATGAGAGGAGCGGTCCGATCTGTCAACTCCATGCCGGTATGACAATAACTCAGAAATCTCCCTACCCCCCACTAATCCGAGAAATGAGGATTGGAACTTCCCCCCATTGGACTTCCGTTCAATGGGAAAGGAAAGGAAACGCTCTATCTGCAGCTGACCATTCATCTGGTCATTCACTCGATCGGTCAGAAAACAAACGATTCTCTCAATTTCCCGCATGCTCATCACCCGTCTTTGGAGCCCGTGACCATCAAAAGTTTGACTGTAGTACGGCAGTTTTACTTTGTGCTTCACCGTTCCGAAGTCGCAATTACGTATCATTGTTGCTCCGCAACGAAGACAAAGTGACTAAACAGCAGCAGGATCGTTATCTTTGATATTAGCGAAAATCCGCTGGATCGCGAAACAATGAGCGGATATGATGTACGTTCGCAAATCGGAACGATTCGCGAGCGTTCGGAGCCTTCGAACACCACCCACCGATCTGATATCGAAGGGCCACTCATCTCTCGATATTCCGCGGCGTTGTGAACTCACAAATACTAAACAGTGCCGTCGGGAAGAGCCTTCCTTCGAAGAAAAAAAAAAAAGAACCGAGGGAGATGCGTCTCGTTCATTTTTTGGTCATCTTAGAGATGAAGATGAGTAGATGGAACTTGAAGAGTCGGTTGCATTTCGTGCGGATTGATTTCTGATTGTTTACCACCCGGAGCAATTATCGGCTAGCTGCCCAGCAGTCCATTAGGGCATTTCGAAAGTAATTCAGTCAGACGTGAAAGATTTCCCCGATCGATGTTGATGATAGCGACGACCGTGAGAACGATTGGTAGCTGCGGCAGGTGAAGCTATGGATGGACGGCTAATGAGATGCATTTCATTCCTGGAATGGAAAAGAAACGGGGAGACAGACGGATTGTTCCGAAGAGCGCCACCGCTGACTCAGTTGGATATAGGAGTCGTCACTCGTCACCTCGACGCAGAACAAATTCTCGATGGAGTTAGCGCGATCCGTAACAGCTTCCGACATCAAAGAGGAAACCCTTCAGCTCATGAGAGGGTTAGTCCAGAGTTCGGAGATATCGGAAGTCGAATCCTATGCAACTCCCCGGGCTGATTCAGCTCGTGATCGACCTATGCGGTCCGCCAATTGTTCCATTTATTCGATTGCTAGGTAGCGTGGAGTGATCACACCACCCGATCCGACTCGCTAGCTTGCGTTCACCGATAGCGGAGCAACGCCGACGTATGCGACGTTCATCCACGTATGCGAACCCCGGGTTCTGACCTTGGGTCGCACTTGCGGCGCCCACGTGCAAGCCAGGGTCTCTGGTGAACTTCGAAAGCGCAAACGTTCATCGGGTGGTTTCTGTGTGATTCTTCTTGTCGTTGCAACGTTTCCTCGGACGATGTACTCATATTCGCAGACACAGCAGACTTGTGACGAAGTCGCAGAACTCGGGCGGATCCGTCGTGTTTTCTTTCGCGTCTTGAATCGCTGTTTGGTTTCGGGCTGGTTGGAGATATCCCTGCCTCAAGAAGGGTCATGGCGAAACTTGTTCGTCGGCGAGATGGAGAATGGATGAAACAAACACTTGTCGGAGTACGCCTACGGCTGACAGCCTTCCTGCAGACTCTCTTCGTATTCAGTTATGAAGATCAATTTGCGGTTCTCCGGAAGAAGAAGAAGAAACTTAAATATTCCGCGGACGCAATCCGTCCGTCGGGTATCCCCACCCGATCTTCAGGCACCGTCCCGCAGACCCTCTTAGTGCGCTTCCGCGAACTCCTCGGACAAAAGCAAGCATGGGAGAAAAGAAGCGCGGAAATATTAAAAATCGTGATTTTCTCGCAGCGTATGCGGATCGAAGGAATGAGAACTCATTGTCCTGAAAAAAGATACCCAATCTCTCCCATTGCAGCCCTCGTGGTGTTCTCACGTGGAATATCGTTTGTGCGATCAAAAATTTCGTTCTGCGGACATAGCATGCCGTTGATCCATGGACCGAGCTTTTCAAGACGCCCACTTGCTTTGAGAGAGAACACATTCTAGATAGACAGAGAATGACGCCACGATGTTGATCGAAAGTCGCTCAGCCCGCTGGAAGTTCGTATCAAAAATCCGGGACAGTCTGTTATAAAGGGACTCCCTCGAGGGAAGAGGGATCGGATCATGGAGTTTCTCGCCAGCTTCTGACAAATTATGGCATCCTCCCCCTCCATATCTCGATTGTTTAGCGTGTCCGGTGCTTTGAACGATTAGCATCATTGTCCACTTTCTGCTGCCCGGACGGGGAGCTCCTCCTTCTCATTCCCCTCCTGATTGGGGAAAAAGGGATTCGATTGGAATCCCGTTGAGTCTATTTCTTCCGTGTCGTTCTGGAATGCTTGCTCAAACCTCTAACCTGTCGATGCGTTGCAGATTTCCCATACGAGAAAGCTCGACGAGGAGGTGCGCTGGCTGAATGCTGGTCGGTGCAGTCCAGCGTGCCATGAGCCGTCCGTTGTCACCCTCCTCCGCGTCACGTCTGAGGAGAAGTGACTCATTGCGATCAGTGAGTTCGGGGTCGGAGAGGAGCGAAGATTCCCGCGGATCTCCGGCTGCTACCCCTCAAGGAAAGGGGAAGAGCGTCTCGTTCAACAAGAACGTCCGTGTCCAGTACCCCAGACGAACATCCCACTCGTTCTCTAAGTTTGACTCGTGAGTACGCCCACGAAGCATTTTGGAGCTCTAGGGTTCCTTAAAAATCCCTAAATATTCGACGACCTCTGAGAAGGGTGGATTCGGAAGCCAGTTTTTGATCATCCTGAATATACTTCAGACTGACTTCGCTCAACGGACGGAATTCGCCAGTAACGAACGGAAACGAAATCGACTACAGTAACACAAACCTGAACGGGAACGGCATCCCATACGCCTCGTCGCCTTACCACGCGCCTTCACACACTCTAACCTTGAACAATCGCTACAGTCAAAACAATCTCAACAATAACCTATCGACGACCAATCAAAAGTCGAACGGAGGCAAGAAATTCTGGAGTAGCGTCTGGAGAAGCCACTCGACCCGAAGACCGGAAGATAAAGAGGCGAACCATATAATTAAGTACAAAGTGAGTACATTGACGTCGTTCGAGCTGAGCCCGTGCGATGAAGGCATCTCGGGAGTTCAATATCTGACGAGGAAAAAATACTTCCAAGCTCTCCTTCTATCCCTCAGGTAAAACACACTTCCCCGCTGGTGGGCCGGAAACTCGGGAATAAGAAACAGGCAGGGTCGGAATCCCCCCAGGTTAAGCGAAATCACGTGAAGAAAATCGTGAGTCTCTTCAACCGGCAAGCTGCGGTCGAGAAGCAAAAACTCAAGGAAGATCTAGAAACATCTGGTAGGTGTCCTACACTGTATTGGAACTTGGATCAGTCTGACCGGATCGAAATTGGAAATATTAACTATCTGGATATGTTCTCCCGCCGTCAGGTCCCAAGAAAGGCTTACACGACCTGCAGACGCAAACGATGCCCGTGCCAGCGATGACTTTGTCGAGGTCGCCGATAACTCGGAGCTCAAGCCCTCCCATCCGGCCATCGACGTCACCTCCAGATCCTCCGACGATAACGACGAATCACATCAAAGGACCCACATTCGTCAAACGGACAGTTACGACGACCACCTACGAACCCAAGCCTTACGAACACGTATCCTTCAATAATCCACTCGGCTACAGCCAAGCCACAGACTCGTCGGTGAACACGAGCGACAAGGAGAACAGTTCTTTCCAGAGCGGAAGCTCCTTCCTCAACCGGGATAGTGGTGAGAACGATACCCCACACAGTCTATCGCGCTTCGATTCATGAATCATGATCGGAGGCCGGCTGGACTCGTTTCGAGGGAATGAGTGAGTATCAGACGGACCCTGCTTCTCTTCCAGGAATCAGTCTGCCATCGTCGCCGTTACGCTCCACGTCGCCGGGTCCGTTCATATCGACGGTGACTCTGAATCACTCACCGAAGGGAAACAGGAATAACCACCAAGAGATCCGGCACGACTTCCGACCTATCCCACCATTCGAATCCAGCGACGATTCCATGTACTCGGATGGCGGACCGCCTCAGCGCCCGTTGCGAACGAAGGCTCCGACGAACCTTAATATCATCAACTTACCTCCGCCCCCCATGAAGGATGCGGCTGTGCAGGTGAGACCTCCAGATCCGGCACAATATGAACCTCTTCGGCGCTTTCCATTGCGATACGCTAAGGAGCCCGAAGCTCGAATTCCTGATTTGGCATTGCAGGATTCTCCAGCATTCAAAGATTCTCCAACATTTTCCTACCGCATTCTCCAATTGCAGGTGAAGCCCGGAAACCTGACGCCCGTAGAAGAACAGCCTTCTCGGATATACGCCCCACTGTACAGTCAGGTCAACAAGAGCCTAAAGAAAACCCAATCAGCCCCTCCACCCCCACCTCCACCTTCCCGTTGGGCCTCGTCTTCTTACCTGATTCCACCGCCCGCGAAATGGGCGTCAACGAGCGAAGTCCGCTCTCAGTCGCCTCAATGGAAACATTATCGCCCCGGTAGTCCGATCCGCTATGGCGAAAACGACAGGAGAGCCGTGTCACCTCTCCACGCCCAACGATTTTCCGACAATAACGCTCATTCCGACTTCACGTCGGATAATGAGAGCGCCGCCAGTAGATCCCGAACTCCAATTGTGAGCAGTCTATCCAGAGAATCAGATGTCAATATGTCTACCCATACGGCCGACGCTGACGGTTCCGCGAGGGAATCGAGAGTCGTGTGATGGGCCGCAGTCGGTCAAGTGCCCCGGGAACCTAAAGTTTGAACCCTCTTTCAGTCTCATGTGAAAACGTCGAGCCGTAGCTTCGGTTTCAACATTGGCACGAAAAAGAAAGTCAAGAGCAAGAAGTCCAAAACTGCGCAGGAGTCCGACTCCTCGTCGACGTCCTCTCAAGGGGTCGAGAGGACCCAAAGCCTCTTGAGATCGGCGAGTCGCAGCCAACCGGCGCGACCGAATTCCCGGAGTCAACACTACAACTCGATGTTGGACTTGAGCCCGGCGTACAACCGCACTCCATATCCGACCTACGAGGACGAATACGGAGCACCGCCGAAGCCTCCTCACACGTATTCGTGGTCGCTCAGTCTGGGTGGGTGCATTCTCTGAATTTCTCCCGGATTGTCTCATTGTAGCTCTATCGAGACGGATCCTTCTCGATGAAATGCATCGTTGCCGAGAGATCCGATTTGAAAAGTTTCCATCTTTCAAGGCCGCACGCCCAAGTCGAAGAGATCGGTCGACGGCGGAAGTACAGCGACTGGACCCATCTATTCGACGCAGGCGCCGATCGCACAAACACCCCGCAAAGCCTATTCCGACGCTCCGTCATCGGTTGACGAAGACCACCCGCCCTACTCGAGACGTGGAGGCTTAGCTGCTGCGTTCCATCATAGGAACGTTCGAGGTACCTTCCAGATGCATTTTTTCTCGCCAAGATCAATTAGCGGAACATTACCGTCCGAGACTTCCAGAAATTTCCGCCGCATCGCTCGGAGAGCTGTCCTAAATATTAGTATTGTATTTTCCTCGCACGTTCGTGAGGGGAACCGCAAGGGATTCCTCGCATCGAGAGGAGTTTTCCGAGAACATACCTCCTCTTCCAGGTGATCTTTTCAATAGTGGAGCGTCTTCGTGCGGTTCCATGACTGCATCGGAAGCCGCGGGCGTACGCGAACCCATTGTGATGTATATTCCGGGAGTGCAGAGAACGGGGAGAAGCCCCGAGGCGAATGTCAACAGGAGCAATTCATTCTTTAATCCAGGCTCCGCTACTTTGAACCGACAGGAGCATAAATCACGGTACGCATAATTCACTCTCAGCTCGACCGATCATCTGAATCGACTTTCATTGTATCCCTGGTGATATTCTACAAAAAAATACGCTCGAGCTCTCCGTCTGCTCGTTCCGAGACCTATATCCGGAATTCCGGTTCTGGTTCGCCGCGGGTTGAAACTCTCATCTGAGCGGCTCTTTACGGTGATCAGTTTCTCTAGCCGACGGAGACTTGAAATTTCACAATCCGGTATTTCGTTTTTTCCAGCTTCGCCAAACAAGAGACGAAAACGGGGAAAAATGACCGTTATAAGCCCAAGGATCCCAAGCAAGAGAAAGTCAACCAACAGCAAATTCAACGGTCGAAATCGATTCCGAGAAACGCTCGTCTTCTCTAAGATATTTCTCCTCCCTAACAAAAACCGTCTCGAGGACGCTAATGAGAAAAAAAAAGAACTTGTAGCAGTTGAAGATGATTCAAACAAATGCAAGTCATGAGAATCGCGATGAGACGCGTATAATGAGGAATGACGATTTTTCAAAGAGCGAAACTGTACATGTTACCCGACTCCACCCCACGGTCGCTCCTCGCGCGAAAAGCATATTGTTCTCCTCCTCTTGTTGACTTCCACCGAGCTCTCCCACCAGCCCGCGGACGACTACCTAAACGACAACATTGACGAGTTTCATAACACAGATGGATAATTACGAGGATGATCATCGCAACAAAGATGTAGAACTTCTAGACGATCGGCACATTGTTCTCGATGGGGATGATCACGATTTCGATTATGCCATGATATATGAGAAATCATCAAGGCGCCGAGAAACGCGACGAAAACAGCCTGCGCGGCCGATGTACATAGAAAACATAGGACAGGCGATCTCTGCCCTGGATACACAATCCCTCGAAGATATCCGCTTTGCTTTCAACCATTCTATGCTGTAGTCGCCCGCGGTGTGGCTGTGCGACCGATACAGGTCGCCTAAGTCGCTCTGGAGCGTGGTGGTAATAAACCCATTTATTTCTAAACCCACGCATACTGTGTTTTCTGTCTGTCCGACGTTTAGCATCGGCGACTGCTCCGGCTTCGTGTGCACGAGATTCCTAACGAAAATAAGCAAGGAAAGAAACCAGCGAGGAGGTCCAAAAGGCGGAGATCCACGCGCATAACATTCCTATGGTACATCAGAGTTCGTGTTCCGTCCAAAGTTGGGTCCGACACAGTCGGAAAGAGAGGTCCGCCGACCACGAGCCAAAACAGAGCTGCGATCGCCAACACCCAGGCTCACGAGTCACGAGATAAGACGAGCGTCGGAATGTTATCTATTTTTTTCGTTTCTCAGACGCCACGAGCATTGGACGCGGAACAGGTTTCTTTTGTCAATTCGAGTGCAGGAGAACAATTACGACTGGATAAGACATTCAGTGGTCTTGAAATGTCGAACATTAAAAATTAGCGAGTACATTTACATCTCGACAAGCGCGATGTACTGGTGATTAGAACTGAACCGAACACACCTGAAACCTTGCTCAAACAGTCATAATACAAGGATAAGCAAAATTTCAGGTCGGATTGACTCAGTCTAGTGGATTTTTCGCTCCGATTCAAGAGTCAGACGGAGATGCCTCAATCCTGAGGTTGGGATTTGGGATCCTCTCTCTCCTCGGATCCCCTCGAGAAAGATCGCACCTCCAAGATGATCGTCAGATTCCTGGGAAAATCGATAGCTATAGTTAGATATCTTTCAACGAAGGAATTATGAAGGAACATCACAGATATCTCTCTCGACTTTGAATCACATCGATCTTCCGAATTATACTGAAAGTAGAAAAAACTCACCCGAAGCTCGCCATGGAGGGCCATGATAAGAAGAAGTCATCGTGAAAGATTATGATAAGAAAAACGTAATCGAGCACTCCTGAGGCTACAGCGAAAACATACGGGGGCCATCAGAGCAATCTCGAAGATGAACTAATGAGCCTCGGCGACTGCCTCACGGTGCCGACCGGCCATGAGATGGTCCGGGACGTCGGCGATGATGACCGCGATGACGATTCAATTTGAACTTTCAATCTCCGATTTCCCGCTGTTCCTCCGTATGCTAGCTCCCCATTCGTCTCTGTGAGGAACTGTTTGTCTGCTTGCTCATCTAAACAACCGAAGATGAGAAAGCTAGCTCGCGGCGAGCAAGCGAGCACCGCAATGACACCCACGCATCCGTCGCCTCTCTTCCTGTCGGTATATATGTACGTAAAAGAGCGAATAAGGCGGTCGCTCGGTCCATTTTCTGTCTACCGAACAGAGGGCCGGCGGAGGAACCGAAGCTGAGGCGAGAAATGCCGACGTCAGGTGGATCGTCGGTAATTTCACGGAGACCCTCGGGCTCGGAGACCTTGAGCTGATCGCCGATCCGTGCTTTCGGTGGAGCATCACGAGAGATCTCGACGAAATAATCGAATCTATCGGATCCAGTCGATACCTGGGTGGGTGTCCACAGACGACGAGCTCCGTGTACTGACGTGGAATGAGCAGCAGATGAGAGCTGCGGGCTCGCTTTGTTTTTTTTCAGCCTAGCTCCATACCCTGTTGAGTTAGTTGTGCTGTTAGGTTAAGGGCGCGGAACGGGTGGAGTCGTTTCTCGCTCGTTTGCCCGCCCGTCCGCCCGCTCGTTCGCCAGCTCAGTCTTCGCCAGCTCGCCGTCGGCCACGAATTCCGCCGTGGCTCGTGTAGATCTAGCGAGAGCAGCAAAGGGAGCTTACGAAAACTCGGCTCCGACGATAGTTTTGTAATCTCTCCAGGCCGTTTCCGAACACCATTCGATTTTCTCACGTGCACGGGCTCGGTCGAGGTCCTCTCAGCATTCATGCTACATCATCTCCTCGGTCGAGGTTCAAACGTTATCAGCATGGTGTCTGAGGCCGAAGGGAGGCGAGCTTCGAATAAAAGACTGGAGGGCAGACCGGTGGGCAGCGGTATGACTTCGAAGAGGAGAATCGTTCGGTCTTAGTCTGTCGCCTAAAAGATCCGTGAAAGCTCGCTCGCCCATGCATGATCGAGCATGACGTCAATTAGACCTGTTCCCGACCAAGTTTCTGAACTAAAGAGCGATCAGATCGAATTTCATGTGGAAAATATCGCTGGTCTAACATTCTTAAGTCGTTAGCTGCAGCCAACGTCTCCACAAGAATGGAGACTGGAAACTTTCGTTTTTTTCCGGGGAATTCTCCGGAATGGAGCGATTCGCCGTCTCCGTCTCCCCAAGCTGAGTGGGGCTGGCAGGCGTCGTGGAGGGAATTATTATTTGGGAAAACCTACAAGTGCAATAACTCTCGCCCGAGTTCACCCAACACCGGGATGCCCAATACGGGACTTGCGGGCTCGGGAACACACGGCATGAGAGTTCCCAGTCTACCTATTGCATTCCGCGGACGGAAAAGTCGACGATGTCGGCGAGCTCGAATGAACTGTCAGGATGGGGAGGCCCTGTTCCATGTCTCGAGTTGGTGTCGGGCTGAATTAACGCTGTCACCACAAGACCCATAATTGGTTCCTAATGAATATTAATTCAGGCCACGGCAGAGCATCAAAAGCAAAAATGGAGGAATGATAATGGAACTGCGTATAAGACGAGGAGGCGAGCCAAACGCCGACCGAGAAGAGAAGTGAACGGACACTGGAGCTTTACGTGTCGACGTCAACTTCGAAATTCAGAGGTCTCACTGAAGTTTTAGCAGAACAGAAAAAGTTGAGACGACCCCTCCCATCGTCGTCGTAGCCTCCAGGCGCTCGAGACTGGATCGATTTGCGGGAACTTGAAGAGGGAGAATTCCAACCGCCTCGCCGGTCCACCAGTGCTGGATCCGAGCCCGGGAAAGAAGATTAAGAGTCAAATTTTCGGAGTGGGACTCATTGTTGTGGCCGAGGCTTTGTCGTTATTGTTGCGCCTCTTGATTTCAGTCGCCATTGTGGATGCCGGTGGTGTCGGTGGAGGCGACCGACGACGCGGTAAGGCTCAAATAATAAAAGAGAACAAGATGGGGACGATCTTGTTCCTTCTGTTGATCGGGGTCACCCTTGGCTCGTCGGACGCCGCTCGAACGGCCGCCCGTCCGCCCGCTCGTCGACCGCCAGCAAGCCAGCCGTTCGGTCGGTCAATGAGTGAGTGAGATCTACTCTGAAATGGTGCGCGAACCGCGAAGCGACCGGGTAGCCGGCTTACCCGCCCACCTTCGCTGATTGTTCTTTTTACTTCAGCTGCTATCCCCCTCTTTCTTCGTCATCGTCGTCGTGGTCGTCTTCCGTGGAAGAGCTTCCAAACACACCGAGAGTCAGTCTGTGAGTCGGTCGGTCAGTTAGTCACTGAGTCAGCCGCTGGCTGGCTCGCTCGTTCGCTCGCTACGAGACTCGGGTAGGTTGTCTGTTCGCCCGCTCTGCTTGTTGGATAGCTGACTGACCCCAGATCTTGACGATTAGAAAACGACAAATGGATGGATGTTGCCATTTCAGCTCGGATAGCAGCGTCACACAGCAAGTACAACAGCGAGATCCAAGACAACGCATTCGACTTTGTTACCGACCGACCGCGGCAGCCTGAACGTCATCTCTCTCGTCGCTCGGTCTGTCCGTCTGCCCGTTCGTCCATCCAGGCGTTCGGGTGTCGGTCGCTCGTTCCGTTGGGCGGATGGTGGCGTGCGTACATGACACCGAAGACCGCATGGAATCCACTCTATTCGTGCCCATCTATCACGAGAGATCCCAGTCGGACCCGGAGTTCCACCCGCCGCGCCGTGTCCACCGATCCCCGCGATCGTTCCAATCGCGATGCATCATTCAATTCCGGATACGTGAGCTTTTCATCAGGGAATCGACTCAGGCATTCGATCGAAGTTTTCCAAAATGCAAGTCTATTCCCCTCTTGGGAACCGATAGACCAGCCCATCGGGCACTCGAACAGCGAGACGGCGACGAGAGGCAGTGACAACGGAAAAATAAACAAATCGTCGAAAATTTCCCTCCTCCTTTCTCTCCCGGCGGCGTTCAGCAAGCCTTTTGGGTTGGTCGAACAGCTAGCGCGCGATTCCGTTCAGCAACGTTTCTTTTGTTATTTTGAAAGGTCATAGCTCTCCGAAACCGCGCTGGCTCGCTAGCTCGAAACCTCCCTCCCTCCGATGATGATGATTATAATAATAACAACAACAACAACGACTGCCGTCCATCCCCTGCGTGCTCCTGTGAACGGCGGCAAGACAGACAGACTGTCTGACTCAATGACCGTCTGGGCGCTGCTGCTCCACCGGTCACTCCGTGTTCAGAGCAGTCTGGACAGACATCGAACAATTTTCGTGGATAATTTTCGAGGGGAATCTCTTCCGCTCCCCATCGGAATCCCCGACCCACCGACCGGGGACGCGAGGCAAGTTTCGAGAACCGCCCCAATCCCACGGAAATCACGCTCCGTGATTGCCGCTACTTCGATTCGAAGGAATTCCGAACTGTTTCTGATTTATGACCAATCGTATCTCTATTCAGCTGCCCGCTGGTGCTTTGTCCGCTAGATTTACA